ATATCTATACAAAACTGTTGTTACAGCAAAGTGAGACTTAATGGGAACAAAGTTCGGGAAAGGTATAAGCAATGAAAATAATCCAGCAGCACAACAATACCTGAATGTGGGAAGACTACAGGATGACTGTTAAACATACGAAGACTAAATTGAGGAAGAGAAGCAACATTTATGTTGCAAAAGCAGAGATCTATTCAGGGCAAAACTATCAAGTTATATGCAAAATACGGCGACTGAGGAAATATGTGAGAGCTGCAGGCTGTGCTCATCACACTCACAGGTTCACAGAAAGTCATGCATATGTAAAACCGGAGGAAGGTGAAGTGCAGCTCTGATATCAGGGGTTGATTTTCAAAAAAGGCTGCCTTTAATTTACAGTGATAGCGGCTGAGGGAAAAGAAATAGAGAGAGAGAGAGAGCGAGAGAGAGACTGATCTAATGAGACAGCGTAATCACAGCCTCTCTTTACGATGGCTCAAACATCCTGGGCAGATCCTTCCGTCTTCTCTCTGATCGGCGCAGCCCTTTTTCTCTCTGGCTGTCTGCTCTCATGCTTCAGAAGACAGGAATCACAGAGAAAAATGCATCAGCGCAGGCTTTTACTTTGTAGATAAATTGCTTGTGTGTCTGTGTAGGGGGGGGGGGCAGAGGGGGTCGTTCTCATTTTGAATGAGAAATTCTCCACGGTCTTGTGCTACAGGTCTGTGCAGTTATTGTAAAAAAAAAAAAATGTATTTTTCTTCCAGGACAAGATGAACCATTTCCCCAAGAATCCAATGAATGACTATTTTCCGATCAATAGTCTTACCAACGTTATTGCGGTATGAGACACAAAGTTTTAAACAGTTACGCAAGTGACTCTCCTAACACTCCTAGCAGGAGGTTAAAAGCGGCCGCTGATACCATTCTGTATCATTCATTGTTTGCGGGCGCGCGGGTCCAAACAGGGAGGAGGACAATGTGCCCTCCACGTTGCCAAACGTGAGACAGATTGAGCGGGTTCCCCAAGGGTCAATCACGACAACAGAGCAGCCAGCTACTCACAGCAATTAACCCACTTGACTTGAGAGCTGTTGAGACTCCCTGTCCTCGGGGACGATCAGACGGACAGAACGTGTCCAGCAAGAAGAGACTGTCCGGCTGGACAGCTACAACTGTCAACCCGAATAATGTGATTCAGCTGCTGTAGGAGAGGAAATGGCCCTCCAATTTGCTCCATTGGAAACTCTCTAATAGGAGCGAGTCAACGACACAGATTCTGCCCTCCGACTTCACGTCTCGCCTGTATGGTTCTGAAATGTTACAAGCTCGCTTACAAGAATTGTATCAAAGAAAGACTTCTTTTAAATTAGGATGGATGCAATTAAAGAATTAAAAAAGTCTGACCATGAATCCAACGCCAATGTATTTGGGTTTGATGAACGTCTCTCGAGCTGAAAGTTGCTCATCATGAGCTCATCTTCAAAGTAAATACCTTTGTCTCCAAGAACACAAAGATAATGAATTTAAAAACAACGGCAGAGACTAAAAAGTGCCACGCGCCCGTTACCGCCTCGTTGCCGCCAAAAACGAGGAAATATACTGTATATTTGGCATCACATCTCAAGGTAAATCAGCATGAGCTAATTCTTCCAATACCAGCGTCCGTTCGCTGGGGCCCGGGGTAATAAGTCTACACATGTCCGCTACAGGTTCGAACTAGAGCGCCATGGCGCCGCGCTGCCCGGGTGGTTCACGGCTGCACGTGGCTGCTCCTGCACGCCGGGCCTCCAGCACCTTCTGACAGCATCCCCGGCAAGTGAGGCATCGGCTGAGAGACACACACACACACACACACACACACAATAGGATGCTATAAAAAGGCCGCAAAAACAATGCCACCCTGCATCAGCGCAAGCGTGGAGCTCTTGGGTGTTGCGTTAGTGTTTGTGACTGAAGCTGCAACTGAAGGAGGATTTAGCGTCCAACAGTAGAAATCCTGGAATTTCCACTCTTCTTTGCATTGACTGCCATCGGGGGCAACATTTACACAGGTACATACATAACATTGATTTACCAAACACGTCCTACAGGTCCATGTGGAAAATCCTTTTTGTATCCCTCCCAAAAATTCAAGACTTCAGATGTTGCGTTACTATCACATAGGAGGAATGAAACGTAGCGATTCCCTCAAAACTGCTTCGGGAAGGGAAGAATATGTGCGGTTCGAATGCTCTTCCCGGACTCCGGACAAAAGCTGCAGGCGATCAGGCTTGCGTTATTTTTTTCTGGCGGATGAGAATTGGAATGTTTAAATTTCCCCTTAAGCTGCTTTTTGAAGATGCAAAATGTGCAAAGCTTCCAGGTGCAGCTGTGTAGAGGCAACTCCAGTGGGGACCACGTTCGATGGCGCCCATTGAAACTCATTGAACAAACGGCAATTGCACCTCTAACCCTCTCACAGCTTCTCTACCTGCCAATCGGCTGCACGAGCTCTTCAGATGACGAAAAGCGAAATAACAAAAAGGGTTTTTTGAGATGCCGTGCCTCTTTCCGGGGCAGACGGAATTCCACGCGGTAATTACACCGGAGGGGAAACAGAGCAGCGGATTCTGTTGTCTGGTCTGATACGCTGAAAAGGTCACTGATCCGGGGAATGAACGGACGCCTCGGGAATTACAATGAACCCTTTGTCTCAGCAGAGGAACCTTTCCCGTCTCACCTAGCGTCCCTTTCTCACCTAATCAGTATGGAGAGGCTGGCGGCAGGAGAGACGACATCGACGGGGGGGAAAAAGTCTGTCGGGTTAAACCGCCAACCCGTTGCCTGTCGCCAGGCTGGGGCCTGCTGGGAAAATGGACGCCTAACGGGGGCCGAAGGTCAGAGCGTTCTGACACAGCTTCGCGGGGAACGTGGTTTCCCGTCTACGTCTCTGCGAAACATCGCATCCGTCCTGCGGACAGGTGCCCGAGAGGGTTGACTGACGTGTTTTAATGGCGGAAAGATAAGATGGCAGCCGGCCAGTGGTCACGGTAAAGGGCAACGGGCGGTACGGAAGCACCGGCTCGGACTAAACTCTTGTAGGTCACCGGTCAATACATCGCAGTAATGAACGACTGGAATTTGGCGTCGGCATATGCTGGTTGTTCCCATCATCCGAGCGGCGAAGCCCACAATCAATGGCAATTCAATTTGCCTGCCGGGTGGTGAAATTATAAGCGAGAGGCTTGTTTATCTCGCCGCGATGCAAAGACACAAGTTTCAGAGCTGAACAACACTAGTTTTATTGCAGACAGAAGATCTATAAAAAAAAAAACAAATTAAAAAGCATCAATTGACTACGGGGAAGATACGGGAATGTTTGATCGGGGCAGAAATTGGAGTTTTAGAAACAAAGTGCAAAGCAGCCTCATCTTCTGGCTCTGGCATGACGTCACCATTTTAATTGTGCTCACATAGCTCTTGTTTGGGTTTATCGTCTAGAATTGTAATTACTATGAAATACATGTACAGTATGCAGGTCTATTGTTTGACCTTTGACTGTAATTTGTTTGTTTGATCAAGCACCTCCAAAAAAAAGACGAGCGAGAAGAAAAAGTCCAAAAGCTGTTTGATTGAGGAATGCAGGACGCCGTCTTTGCTCTTCGATAACGGAAAGTGATTCGGTGAAGATAAGCTGCTCAGACGTCATTAGCAGGTTTTATAGGAAGGGCAGTTACCTGTTTGCCGATCGCAGTGGCAGCCTTTGTTCCTCGTAAAAGAAAAAAATGAGGCTGACGTGACGTGAGGTTTCAGCGATAAAGGCCGGCACCTCTGGAACTCCACCGTCGGAGCAACGGGTGGGCGGCGAGCGCCCGCTGTGATGTCATCATCCGCCAGCCGACGCTTCGCCCGGTTAACGCGCAGTGACGCCTTGGCTTTTCCGAGAAAGAGCGAGACGCGGAAGGGGAGCAGATGATGATGATGATGAGGAAGTGGGATGATTCACTTCAGCAGAAGAGAGCAGGAGGCCAGCGAAGCGCCTTCACTTCCCCCGACGAACTGGGAACTATGGGGAAGTTTAAGTTTGACTCCCTCATGTCAGCAATGCCGCTCCTTCATGGACATGGATCAGGGTGGTTAGGGTTACAAAATGTCTACTTTCTTTGAAAAATATGAAGGGATGAGCCGAGTTTTGTTTTTTGAAAAAAACTTGGAGGTGACCAGTCTGGCAGTCTGGCTGAAAAAAATGAATTTCAGTCAGACACTGAACCTAGACCAGAGAAACAGACTGGGTAAAATACGAATTACCTCATGCATATGCTGATAATTAACACCGGGTGAAATTATAAATTTAAGGAGGTGCCGTGGAGCATTTAGTGACTATTAAAAGCAGGGAGGATGTGCGAGTACGCCTGCAGAGCCAGACCTCACGTCCCTCACTTGACATTGTGTAATGATCAACTCAAGAGAACGTTCGAGAACGGCAGGATTATAATTGCTACACAAAAGCCCTCGGTTTGAATTCAGGGCCTTTTTTGGAAACATTTTCAGCTCCACATTTCACCACAGCAAGACAACCGAGGCTCGTTCACAGGGCTTCACGCACATGGAACTCGAGTAGTCTAAATCAGTGGTCCCCAACCTTTTTGAAAAAGGTGGGGGGGCTGTATGATGACCTGAAGGTCACGGTTTACGCACCTAAGCAGATAATCCAGCTGTTCCACATGATGCTGTGAGTCCACGTGGAGGTGGCAGGTGAGCTGCTGGAGTGGACTGCAGGTATAAATAGCTCACACGAGGATGTGTTGTTTCAGCTCCTGTTGTTTAGTTTGTTTGTCAGTTTCAGAGCAAACGATGGCTCCAGCCCAACTGATAACACCCCCACCCCTCCACATCCCCCCACACCTGCACGGCTACGGTAACCTGCTGCATGCATTCGCTCCGTCCGTTCGGGGGGGATCACCGATAGCCTCTCCGATGACCTACCTGTGGAGCAGGACAGGTGCCTGTGGCGTATGTGCGCAGCGACGGACACTCACCAGCTGATTTCAGTGCGCCTTTTGCAGAGCGAACAAAAATTAAAAAAAAGAAGAAAACCCCCACCGAAGTCCGAAGTTTGCGGCTACCCGCCGGACAGCGTCTCCTGCAGGGAAGAAGAAGGGTTCGCGGGGTCCGTCCGGTGAGACGCGTCCCACTGCTTCATTACGGCTGAACCCGCTGGACCCGCGGCATCGTGCACTGCACCGCGCTGGCACGCGCACACAGACAGCCGAGCACGGCGCGCCCGGTGCGCGCAGCAACAAGGGAGGAGCGTCAAGGTGCGCACACGCAGTGCGCGCGGGAAAGGGGAGGATTGGGCCTTCAGAGTAAAAGGTGTCTCAAACATGGCAGGGAACAAAAAACTAATGGTTTCAGGGTTTTCACAGAAATAATATGTATGTATTACAACAGGAGTCTGAGCATAACTAGTATGTGTTCATTTAAATTAGTTTGGTTGTGCTCAGTAACAGGTTGTTCTGAATAGCCCTAAAATCTGTGGCAATTTCTTCGGTGGGTGACACTTGAATCTCTCTGTATTTATAACAATACAATAAATACAAAACCAGACAGAAAGTCTTCTTTTCCAGGGGGGCAAATTATTAACATAGTTAAATGCTTTAAGAACACCAGTTTACCTGCTTTTCTAGGTTAACTGGTTAATCTACTCAAAGACGGGGAAGAAATGAATAGCCCATCGACTGGTAGGCCTTCAAATAGTTTGTTTTATTTTGAAGTCATTGTAGTGCAGTTTCCTGTGTGACTCTCCGTATAATTTAGGTTTTATCCTGCCGCTACTGCTCTAAGGTTTGTACCATTGTATTTATAGTAAGGGGTGCACCACGACTAAATATTTATATATCTATAAATGGAATCGGCTTTTGTCTTTTGTTAGAATCCAATTACTCAGTAATGTGTCCTCGGTCTTAGGTTATAGGCCCATGGATAGTAAACTGTACGTCTCCTCATCCCATTCTTATTACAGGGAAAATGTAACTCAAGCACTTTAGTATAACTACCTTGGATAAAAAACCCATAGCAGTGGTCCAGTTAAAGCAATGTCAACTGTGTTTTCACAAAGGGTTGTAATGGTTTCAGTCAGCAGGTTCTTTATATTACTCAATATTTTGATGCTCATAGTAGAACCCTTACATGTATATCATTAATTCACCTGTGCCACCTACAGAACACAAAAGGGAGCACATTGCATATTGTAGTGCTCCGCCTCACAGCCATCAGGTCCTGAGGTTATCACGAGAATATCAACCATAACGCAGAGGTGACTTAAATCAGTCCCCTGAGGATGTTGCTGTAATGAAGCAGATTAACATCAAATCCATCAGACTGCTCATTACCAAGGTGCATTCATGTGAACCATGGTTCAGCTGTTATTTTTATATCACTAGCTGCCACTGTTCAGGGGGGGGGACAAGGAGAAGCTTTATTTTTGCAGTGATTATTCACAGGTGAACACCTTCACTGTATCTCTGAAGGTCAGACACCAGCAGATGGAGGTTTGGTATCTGTTGTTTTGAACTCGCTCTGACTTTCCTTATCACTATTATTGTTTACCAACTGTTTGCTACTTTAATCAGCATCATTCTCAGTTGCTCTTATATGGCCTAATAATTACAGTGACTTTGAAATGGTTTTTCTTTTTGCATTTTTGTCTCATGCTTTTTCCTAGATGGTTTATAGACATAATTAAATGAGTTGTAATACATATACACACATAATTCTTTAGGGCATCATTGTTCATTTACACTAATTTTTTTTAGGTGCATTTCTTCCACGGTAGAGTCCTGTGCCTTCAACGTTCTGTGATTCGTTATAGGGATCATGTTGTCATTTAGAGGACAAGTTGAACGTTTCAAACTTTCATTTTTATTTTTCAGACTCTGAAACACAACATGAAGAGGTATCACAACTATGATTAAAAAAATGATACATGCTGGTTGTACAAATCATTTATTTTGCTTTGTGTTTGTGACAGCCACAGTAAATGTATTGGCCAGTTAGCTATGAATTATTGTGTTTTGGAATTAAATGTAATACATCTTGAATCGTATGTTATAGAGGTAATACATTATTTGACTATACGACGTGTTTTCTTAAGTTCCAACGCTTTAAGTATAACGATGTCATTTTTCCTATTTGCCCCAAACAATGTCGGAAAAACAAGTGCACTGTGCCACCAAAATAAAACTGAGAACGTATTCTTAGTCAGTTTATAAGGCAGCAATACCGCATTTGATAATACTGCACATATTTGTTGTGTTCTATGAAAAGATAATTGTCACCGTCACAATCCATAGACATACACATTAAAACACTGCCCCTCAGGTGCCTACGATTTAAATGACGAACGTGTACACGTGACACCAAGCTTTTATTTTGAAGAGGACACACGGATTTCTTTTTTGTCGTTTTAAATTACTTGACATCGCCATTTTGTCCCGAGTTTCTTCCTGAAGTTTTCAAGATTCCACTAATCTCGTCCGACTTGTGAATTGAACTAAACCGACATGGGGGCCTGTTTAGCTCTGGGTTCCCTTGCCAGTTGTGTAAGTAAACATTTACCGGTTGTGTTGTTTTTACTACATGGATTTAACTCTCATTATTTCTCGACATCTGTTAATTTGTTAATTTATCACGACGTTATTTACGTCACTATCGGCACACGACTTGTGCGACATTATAGTCCGTGTGAATAACGTTAGTTGTAAGACGTCAACAATAATATGATGTTATTTTTAATTGGCGTACTGTGGATGACTTTTAAATCAACTTGTGGCAAGTTCATTTGAATTATTTTAATCAGAATCGATGGGAAGCGTCGGTGGTTTGAATCATACAGCTGCGTCCTTTTGCCATTTTAACTTTAGGTACAGTTCACCTCCGAGGACATACTTGTGTTCATGTTTTTAGAATTAATCCGGTCAACATGTAACGTGTTAATGGGAATGAAATACAACTCTCTCGGTCCGAGGTTTAAACTGGTTTGTGTAAATGCGCCATTTCCGGGTTCTCCTCAGATTCCCGGGAGGGCCAACCAGCGCGTGCTGACCGGAATCATTGATTTACGTTTAAACCTCGATAACTATAAAAGAAGTGTGGCAACAAACCACAGGTTGTGAGCAAGTATTCACTTCCGGTTAATATTTCATTTAGCTCGTGTGATCATTTTGTGATTCTTGGTCAAATACGCCAACATCTGGACGATCAGGTGACTTGCTCACGTTAACTTGCAGTAAAAAGCTCCATAGTGTCAGGATCTCCAATCCCCCCGAGTTGGTTGATGAGAAGAATCGCAGCATCAATTAAAGTCAAAAGTTAACATTTATTTAGAAGAGAAAAAGATTACATGAGCAATTCTCCGCAGATATCTGGCTCTAACTATTGCCTATAGGCAGGAGGTCAAACACGGCGTAATGACGTCCCCGAGCAGTGAAAACGCTGAGTTTTTATACACCTGTGAAGGGTAGCACACACACACACACACACACACACACACAAGATCATTCTCAGAGGCCGGTGCAAATCATTATTAATTGACATCAAGTAAAAACGTGGATCCGGAACGAAAGCTCCGAATAAGATATGAACCAAGGCCATGAACAGGAGTCCTTTGTTGCTCTCCCTTGCTCTCCCTTCTCAGTGCGCAGCTGCAAAGCAACATTTTGTATCATGCTGCTCTTTGCACTTCAGGGTCAAATACAGGACACTTGAGACACGGCCTTAGCACAAAACAATGTTATAATATATTTTACCAGTACATGCATCTCACAATAGCGAAGATAAGGCTTATTACCAAGTCACACAATGGGGCAAGGATGCAATTTGGTTCTCTGATCTCAGATGCTGGAGCGTGTGGCACAGCTATAAATGTGCCACACGCCATTTAGATGAATCTCTAAAGGTGTGTTTTCACTATGACATTTTGATCCCCGTCGCATTGAGTGGGACCGGATGATGCGTCGGGGTGGAGCACTTTAGTTCGAAGTTAAAGAAGCTAAACCCGTCGCATGTTTAGCGTCGTCTAGACACACGCAGCCGTGCCTAAAGGTATTGTACCAATTGGGATTTGGACAAAGTACAACCATTTGCAACGGCGTTCTTCTCATCGTGGCTGTGTACACGTGACGGCGTACTCTTATGCATCCTCGTGCTTAGTGAAGGATGGCTGATCTCCGCGCCGACCTCCGCCTCGGTGCTTCTGCACGCCTCTCAGCGTTCTGCAACCTCGGCGCTCCTGTTCGCGGCGCCAGACGAGAGACTGCGGGGTTTGTAATGATGGCAGCTCTGATGCCGGGCCTGATTACCGCCTCCTTGAAAATCCTCCCTTGTCTTTTGCTTGTGTGGAATCGTGCGGACGGAGGCGAGGGACGGGCGCACTGAACGCAGACGCGGTGGGATTTGTTTGGCTGTTGTTGTTTTTTTTTTTGTCCCAACCGCCTTTGTCGCGACTCACGAGCCATGCGTGCCTTACCCAGACTATCCCAGACCCCAGAGATGAACGCCCTGCTAATTCCCTGGCTTGTCTCTCTTCTCCAGGCGTCATGTTTGTGTGGCTCGGCCTCCTGCATCCTGTCGTCATGCTGCCCGACAACCACCAACTCCACGGTGAGCCGGCTGGCCTTCTCCTTCCTGCTGCTGCTGGGGACGCTGGTGTCCATCATAATGATTCTCCCCGGCATGGAGGAGCATCTAAAAAAGGTACATTAGATATGACTGGATCGAGGTTACTGGTCCACAATGGGCTATTGCATGAGGCCCCTTTTTGGTCGTTTCATAAGGCCCTCGCATGCATCCTTGTATTTTTTCAGCCCACTTGTCATTTCCTATTCAAGGAAAATGACTGGAAAATGGTTTGAATTTGTTTCATAAGGCTGTAACCCGGCAACAGTGACGCTGTAGAGCAGCTGGCCAGGAGGCTTCTGTTATGCTGTTTTTCTTTTAGTAGTTTCATCATTCAAACATCATTCAATATTTAAAAAAAAAACATTTCTGATGACTCCGTTATATCCTCGCCCGTTGCCCACCCATTTTTTTCTTTGTGTGCTTCACACCGTCAGATTCCAGGTTTCTGTCTTGGCGGGACATCCATACCCGGCATAGAAAACACGGTGAACTGTGACATCATCGTCGGCTACAAGTCGGTGTACCGCATCTGCTTCGCCATGACCTGCTTCTTCTTCCTGTTCGTCCTCCTCATGATCCTAGTGCGCAGCAGCAAGGACCCCCGAGCCGCCGTCCAAAACGGGTGGGTAGTGTCCCCTGCAGCCTCAGCACCAGAGTCCTGTATGATGAAGGCATGATGCCCCCTGCTGGCCAAACATGGGGGCTGCACCTCTAAGATTGTTATTTAAACAGAGCGCGTAAACACGGGGGGTTCTGTGCATATTTAGAATAACTTGACTTCTTTTCTCCTCAGTTTCTGGTTCTTCAAGTTGCTGCTGTTAATTGGCATAACAGTGGGAGCTTTCTTCATTCCAGATGGCATCTTTAACACAGGTATAAAGACCAGTTGTCTTGGTAGTAATTTGCTAGTACTTGCAGTTTGTTTTCTAGTGATGTCTCTTCTTTTTTTTTTTTTTTTTTTTTTTTTTTTAATGGCACATACTACACTAAGCTACTAATCACCTTCTCTTTCTGATGTCCTCAGTGTGGTATTACTTTGGCATGGTGGGGTCCTTCTTTTTCATCACCATCCAGCTCATTCTGCTGGTGGACTTCGCCCATTCCTGGAACCAGTCCTGGGTGGACAAGGCCGAAAATGGAAACTCCAAATTCTGGTTGGGCGGTAAGGTTTCAACAGAACGAAGAGAGTCCTCAATTTGAATGTCAACATTATCTGATAGTTCCAAAGTTTTTGATACAACCCTGAGTCATATTGGTGAATCCCTCAAATTCATCTGTCACTACATCGAGTGTCCGTAGTGCGTTGTGAGTGAGGGGTCTTGCTTTGTCGAATGATGGCGGTCTTCACTGCTGTTTTGCTCTTCAGCCCTGCTGACCATCACCCTCATCTTCTACGCCTTGGCTTTCACCTGTGTTGTGCTTTTCTACGTGTTTTATACACAACCCGACGACTGCACCGAGCACAAGGTCTTCATCAGCCTCAACTTCATATTCTGCGTCATCGTGTCCATTGTGGCCATTCTGCCCAAAGTCCAGGTAGTAGAAGTGATATGCTAATATGACATAAGGAGGTTTTGTTCAACCGGCACAGTGATTTGTTTGCTAACTGCTCTGATTCCCTGTCGCCACAGGAAGCTAACCGCTACTCAGGCCTCCTGCAGGCCTCCTTCATCTCCCTTTACACCATGTACATCACCTGGTCGGCCATGAGCAACAATCCCAGTAAGTCACTGCTCTTTAATTCAGACCTTTGGGGCTGTAGGAAGGAGGACAGAAATCCCGCCCCTATAACCGCTCTCCTTGTTTCCCGCCTCAGACCGGCAGTGTAACCCCAGCCTGCTGGGTTTGGTCCAGCCCGCCGATGCAACACCAGCACCGGGACCCGCTCCGACCAAGGCCCCCACCACCACGCAGTGGTGGGACGCGCAGGGCATCGTGGGATTGATCATTTTCCTGTTCTGTACCCTTCTAGCCAGGTATTTGAGTTGAGAAAATGAACGATGCAGAGTAATAAGGTTACATTTCCATGCGTTTCCACGTGACATCTCGTGCTCCTCCCCCGACGCAGCATCCGCACCTCCAACAACGCTCAGGTGAACAAGCTGCTGCAGACCGAGGGGGGCCAGGAGCCCATCGTCGAATACGGGACGGCGGGGGGGGAGGATGGGGTCCGACGGGCCGTGGACAACGAAGAGGAGGGAGTCACCTACAACTACTCCTTCTTCCACTTCAGCCTGTGTCTGGCCTCCCTCTACATCATGATGACTCTCACCAACTGGTACCAGTAAGTATCAGGTTTTTTTTAGCCTCCCCCCCCCGGGGGCTGAATCTCCTGCCACCGAGACACCTCGTCTCTGATTTTGGTTTCTCTGGTTCATCAGTCCCGACACCGACTACCAGGTCATGCAGAGCACCATGCCGGCCGTGTGGACGAAGATGGCGTCCAGCTGGTTCGCCTTGGGCATCTACCTCTGGACCCTGGTGGCGCCGCTGGTGTGCTCCGGCAGAGACTTCAGCTGAAAGCACCTTTAGTTTTTATAAGAAAACCCGCTTATGCTTTAAAATGTATTTGTGCCTTTAACTCCACATTTACAATTTGAGATGCTTCGTTTTTCCTAAATGTTGATTTCTGGGGCTTCGAGTTGAAACAAGCATCAGCTTTTGTGAGTTTATTTTCAATCAACCGTTTTCCAACCTCAGGTCATTTGATATCGTTCACTGTTACAAATATTAACATTTTAGAGCAACGTTCCCATTTATGTATGACAAGACAAAATGCACCTTAAATGGTCTCTTTGGGGAATTGATGTTTTGGCTTTGCTACACTACATTTTTTGAGCGGTTTATGCTTCTTTCATCGGTTTGATATTACTGAAGGATGTTGTACAGATTTCTATTCTTTTTTTTATGATACAGCTTTGCCAAATTCTATAACAACCACGCCTTATTTTCTTTGCACAGAATTACGCATTTTGAAAACAATTGAAGTGTAACGATGCGTCCTGAATGTACTACGTGTGTTTACCTTTCATTTTAATCAATAAAGTTGACCTTCTGTTTAATGTATTGTGTACAAATATGCTGTCCTCTAGGTAGCGCTGTGGCCCCTCAAATTTGACATTTAAAGGATGTAAACTGGATTTGATGCTGTACGATGTGTTTTGACACGTGAGCTGTAAGATATCTCGACTTAGTCTTCGCTGCCTTGTGAGTGGAGCCAGATTTTATTCAGAAACGGCAACGTCATCAAGTCTGCAGGAGGGATTTCCAAATGCTCCACTGCCCCCCCCCTCTCCCTTGTGATGTGATTTATTGTGTTCCTTCGATGCAGGGTTCCCTGGTGTGCGCCGAGACATTTTGCTTTTTATAAATGCAAATGTCTTTCTGGCTCTAGGTGTGCAGTTTGCATTCAGCGGGTTATAGCTTTTAATGTACTTGTGTCAAGAAAAAATCAAATCTGCCATTTCATACTTTTTGCTTTCTGATGTGAACGTCTTCTAGGCTCTTTCCTCATAAGATAAGAGGTTATTTAAAAGTATGTTTTAACTTTTTTGTAAAAAAAAAATAGCTTGGATGTCAAAATAAATAAAATAAATATTTGATTAATAATATCAATCAATAAATATTTTATTTTCCATCTTTAATCTTAAATGTTTTAAATCTATACATTTCAATATATGACAGTCTGACGGCCGTCCTCTGTTTACCTTTTTCTTTTTTTACCCCTTGATACTTCAACTGTTTAAAACATCCCTTTGCAATGACTTGTGGGTAATTACCTCGGGCAAAGTCAGCCTTGTATGCCAATTTACGAAAAGGGCCCAAAAAAAGCCAGCATGTGATCCTCAAACACTTTGCAGAATGACAGCACCGAACCCTGTGCACGGTACGCGCGCGCCTCAGGCTTCGATCCGGTTCTGCAGAATTGTGACCCGGTGCAGCTTTGAGCAGCGCGCTGACCCGGAGCCGTTACGTAATACCGACCGAGGCAGCGGATCGGTTGCGTAAGCCGGCGGTAGGATCCCGTGCGCCCCGTGCTGCTCCGCCTTGCAGTGTTCGGGGTATTCCGGGCCTTGCGCGCCCCCCCCGGGGGGTCCTTTTCTTTTGTATCATCATCAACAACAGCAAATGCGCCTCCTCCTTGGAGGGTTCCAAGCGCACGACGACCAGGTTAGAAAAACACAAGCCACACGGAGCCGTGACACATCTGGAGCCCCGATGGACCTCATTAGACGCGCGATGTTCGCCTCACAGTTGTTATCGCGGGTTAAAAAGGCGCGAGGACAACAATAGCACGGCCATCACGCATTCCTGGAATGTGATTACATAACAGGAGGACATATGTCATTTGAATCAATGGAACACATTGAAGAATCAGATCTGTGGGGGTAAAATGTGTTGGGTGGACTTCCCCATATCAAATGGTGTATATAAGAGGCATTCCTATTGATGGTAGTAAAATGTATTAATTACTAGATTAATTAAATTAATACCTGCTAGACTGGAATTCAAGTGAGTATTTGAAGCGTTTTCCTTTCATTTTTAGGTTCGACGTTGTTGTAAGTGGGCGGGGTCAGTGGGGCAGCAGCGTGTCCGTTTCTCGCTCCAGCTGTGGCGGGAGGTTGGCGGCGTCAAGCTAACCGGAATACGACACGCACACAAACCGGGGTTTGTTTTTCAAAATAATAGCGCATAATTACGGTAACGAGTTTGGAACGCTTAACGTGCCTCGTAATTTCCGTGTGATCCTTCACGTTATGGAACTCATCGGCGATTCGTAAAGCGTGACGTTTATGTTTATTTTGTCATTTTATATCCCATTGCGCGTTCGTTTTTATATTAGCATTCATTGGGTTACAACGTAGCCGTGCTCTCTGCCCTTTGGTGGAGGAAGTTGTGCCCAGAAACGCTGCCTTTTATATATTTACAGCATAAACTTTCCGTCCCGCTACCAACATCTGGACCATGTTGTATTTAAATCCATTATCCCGACTGAAGGACTCCCAAAAGGTAACAACAAAGAACACAGAGCTGTTATGGTACATTTGTGACTGTTTTGTTTGTGGTATTATGCGAGGTGTTGCTGAGAATGCCAGGAGGAATGTAGTATCAAACTAGCTAAAATTGAATATTGGTTTGCTACTTCCGGTTTTTAGCTCAAACATGACGCCCCGAACGAAGCTGACCGACAAAGATTATATGTGCTTTACGAGATTACGAGATTTAAACATGCGTACGCGTTCACTGGTTCAATATTTACGTTGCGCTTTTTGTTTTGTCGACGCCCCACTACTCGGTATTTTTCACGCCTTTACTTTGAAGTTTGAGTGTAAAGTTTTCCTGTATCGACCTCACGTCAGCTGACTTGACGCAGCTCGCGAGCCCCCGTGGTCGCACCGCAGAGAAGTGAAGTTGAGCATCCTGCAGGTAACGTAGGCTCGTACGTGGTGTCAGTGAGTTGTTGTAAATATTACAATATATTTTGTCGCTTTGTTTAATCCTAAAATGTCTCTATGGTTGAGCGGGACGGTTGTTATTATTCAGCTTGTTTTCTTGTCGCTAAATGTCCGGAATGGTGAGATAAAGGTAGCTAACGTCAAGATGCACAGCGTAACCAGAGCTAATAACGAGTGATTTCCAGTTTGAATACGTATATATATTTAACAATATATATCTATATATTTTAGCGTGTTGGGGTGTAGAGACACCTGAACGGGTCCTGGGCTTGCCCGTTCCCCAAAACTGGCTCCATTCATTGTCTGTGAGAGGGAGGAGGAGGTGGAAAGCTGCAGCAAGTCAGCCAGAATGGGACACAAGACCGGAAGTGTAGGGATTTCACTTTCAAAATAAAACATCCTGAATTTGCCTCGCTTAGTAGAACACGTACAGCAAGCTGTTGGTAGCTTAGAAGGGCATTACGTGATATTAAAATAGTCGCGTTACAGTGTGCGGTGGACCTTCTCGATGAAGCTCGAGTAGAATCTCTCGTTTTTGGTTTGCGATGTGGTTTCACTTCATTTGGAGGCGTTGTGATTCTCGGTAGCTTGACGCTGGTTGTAGTGGCACAGCTGCATGGTTCGCTCCGAGGCAGACTACTACGTAGGTAAAAAAGCAAACGGTGATCAATATTGCCCTTTACTGCCACCGCTGTTGCATTGGAACACACGAGGGCAGGGATTTTGAGTCTCCAATAAATTCATTGATCAAATGTTACCCACTTAACGTTACAGCATTTTATTATTCATTTTAATCTCCAAAGGGAGACACACGCGTTTAACGCTGGTGTATCACATGTGGGTAAAGGTTTTGTTTATTCTGATCGGACAGAATGTTCTTTTAAACTGGGATTCATCACTCTGTAGCGACCTCCATTCAAAAAATCTGGCACGAATATATTTTATTAATTCGTCTATAAGTGCGCATGTCCGTGGACTACAGGCGATCATACGCGATTGGCGGTTTCAGCAAACTAGTACTCTTTATATTTTATTTTTGACTTACTCCATCATCAATAATAAGGACTTTATTTTCAGCGAGAGCCAAAGGATCGCACTATCCGAATTTATGAACGCCGAAGGAACAAACCGAACCAGAGCAAGTATGCAATGGTATAATATGTTTATTAATACGACCAATCATCTTTCATACGCACGTTTAAAACGGAAGTTGGCGATTTATTCAACGGAATCTGGCGTCGGCGTTTCCCCACATGCAACAAAAAAACCGAAACCAATCGGACCCCGCGATGACTGCATAATTACTTCCGGCTGCTCGGAAAATTTCTGCATAACCTGCTTCCAAGGAATCCAGCATGACGTCACTGCCGTTCGGGGCGGATATTTTTATGTATATTTTTGGCCGCAGCATCAAACCGCCGATAAAATTACATAATCAGAACGGGGCTTAAACTGGTTCGCTGATTCGGATGTCAGCGGATAAGCTTTAATATGGATTGTCGGCTCTTCTTATTGAACTGCTGACCAACAGGCAGCAGTCTGTCGATGGGGGGGGGGGCTTGCAAGGTGGTCCAGCAGTGCATAGAAATACCCCCCCCCCCCACCACAAAGCGCCCAGGGTTGTTGGGGTCACTTCATTGTCTGCAGGGTTAAACGCATTTAAAGTGTTAAATTCAAAGTGTCAACAAGGTTATCGGTTATTTCTGCACCAGTTGAAAGGAACATGCAATAGCAATGTGCCTCTTTAAAGATCGATACACAAAATGAACCAGCGTGCTGGAACAACTGCGCAGCCCTTAAACACTCGCCGTGGAGGAGATGCCTGCTGGATGAGAGGCCATCCGAGGACAGCGAGCGGTGCCTCGCTGCGCACACGCTGGCTACTATAGATGCGTTTTTCATTTTCCCCACGCGGATGTGATCGTTTCATCACAAGAATACGCAAATGGGCTCCTGGCATATCTGACGAAGCAGAGCTTCATCTGTCCGAGATATGTGAGCGATAAGATGATGCCTACTGGTGTTATTCCAGTTTAGAGGGGGGTATTGGTTCGCATATGATGATTATGTTCATCATTGATTAAACTATTAATCATTACTTTTTATTCAATGTAAAAAATACATATATTTAGATACATATATTTATAATATTTAAATTAAATTGCGGCGGCAGTAACGCAGCTCCTTACGTCACACAAACGGATGCTTATAATAATGTAATAATCTCAATACATATCACTGTTAAGTAGTCTGTGCAGGCTCATCCTTTAACCCGCCTGAGGCTTCCTCTCAGTCTGTTATGTCGTCTCACTTCCAATTTAAGGAGTCAGATTTCTGACATTCTTTCGTCGAAACTTACCCCCCCCCCCCCCTCCCCACTGGGAATTTCTCTCCCCCTGAGTTCACCCTGGAAAAAAAACCAGTGCCTCTCCCTGTTTATTTTCATTTTTCTTTCCCCGGGAGTTGTCTTTTCCCTCAGGGTGGGGGGGGGGGGGGGGATGCATCAATCACCCGGTGATGGACAGGAGGCGGCGACTGATGTCGCGATGTCACGATGACATTGACACCCCCCCCCACACACACACACACACACCCCCGCGTTATTTATGCCGTAAAGGTTGTCTATTTACCGGGTGATCCGTTTACTTGCACTCAGAGGGAAGACTTGACCTTTCAACTCTGTTGCGTAACATATGACTCTGGAAGGAGCTTTTTGAATCTGCCAAAACAACCGCGATGATGTCACTCAGGAGGGAGGGACAAAGGAAGCCATTGAGTTGCGAAAGCGAGAATAGTAGAACCCGATATTTCTTGTGCTTTTTTGGGGGGCTTTGGATCCAGGGGGTGTCTTGCGGGTTATCAAACCTAAACAAGTTGCCACCTTCTTGTGGCTCTGATAGGCACAAATGTCTTCCCCTGTGTTCTCAGTAAACACGCGTGCGGTGTGCAGAGGCTCCGGGCGCCTCCCGAGGTGATGCGTCACGACTTTTTCATTTTTTTTTTCAAAAGGTCGGAGCCCGAGAGGACAACGCGGACACTCGCGCCGGTCGTCCTCCACCGTCCCCGGTGGCAGCTTAGACGCGAGCGCGCTTCTCCGTGGAGGTCGCTGTCCGTGTCAATCTCCTCTTCACTCGGTGGGGGCGGAAACACGGCGAGCAGACGCACAATCTGTACCTTATTGAAACACAGAGGCAGCAGTCTTCTAGGTGGGGGAGTTGGAAGAGGTATTTACCCAGCTGAGGTGGTCCTTCATAGCCGTGACAGTCTGGGCCATTTTAGGACAAAGTCAACGCCTATATGACAGGAAATGTGGTTTAACTTTTCTCTTCATCCCGGTGATGCTCTGGCTGGGTGTCCTTTGTGTCACGCCGGCCGATGTGTAACGGCGTGATGCCGAAAATCATACTTCTTTGAGACGCCTCAAGGGGTGATGTCACATTCCACTGACTGACGGCGGAAATCGAGGGAACGCCTCCAAAAAACCTTTGTACTTTACAGAAAAAAAGACCCCTCTCCCTTTTTTGTGAAGTCAAACACTCACAGACGTGTTGCCTGAATAGACTAAAATAACAAACTATTACAAACAAAGTACATCAAACTATTGAATCACTGTATATGTTTAAAAGAAAAGGATCCGGCTGGGGACGTGTTCACAGTTTACTTAACTATCTTGACAATTTTACGGAGTAACGTCACATGTAACTAGATGGCCCCGGCTTGTGTCGGGTTTTTAATATTCTGTGAAAGGCCTGCAGCAATTATTCTCATCAATGGCCAAAATAATTGAATGAAAATTGCTTAATGCTTTTTAAAAAAGACATTTATTCTGACCATCCGCTACATTTCTAACAGGAAGCAGGAAAACAACCTCCAGTGGTTACTGTACACGCTGAACTTGCACTACTCTCATTGGAACAAATCTTCTCTCGGGGCAATACATCAACAACCCCAACCCCCCCCCCCCTCCACCCAACCCGAAACCTGCAAAACACATTCTTCCTTAACTGTAAGCGGCTACAACAGCAATAAATCACCGAGTAGTCGCGCAGATCCTCGGCGTGTGTGATTTAAGACGTGTCACGTAACCGGCACGCCCACGCACACCTCCACGCCTCGATACGGGTGACAACGTTTCCAGGTAGTGATGCAGCAGGGGACCCTAGGGTGGCCCTGGTCATCGATCATTAGGAACCGCCCCCCAACACACACACACACACACACACACAGCGGCAGAGACACAAGCTTTACCGTCAGAACAGATTTCCTCCCGGCCGGCGATCCGGCCCGAGGACCACGGGAGCGGAAATTGAAAGGATACACTCGCTCGTGGGTGTGTGTGTGTGCGGCGCGCGTGTGTGGTTGTGTGTGTTATGTTGCTTATGCGTGCGCTCGCCCATGTGCTCGCGCACGGGGGGAAACGTGTTGGCGGAAAATCGGTCACGTGTGCTCTGTGGACACCGTACGCTCGAGGGGCGTTCAGTGTCATGTTTACATGCAGTGTGTGTGTGTGTGTGTGTGTGTGTGTGTAGGTGCGTTGGAATCGGAGCGCGTGTTGCACTCGCAGCTGTGAGTCGTCCAGCCCCTTGGCCCCGAGCCGCGGCCCTCTGCTGGAAGGAGTCGGGTTCCGCCAGGGGACCCCGGAGGCGAACGTATGTGCTCGGTCTCGCGATGTGGAAAGGCCTCTGGCTTCTGCAAATGCACACACACACACACGCACACACACACTCACACACACACACACACACACACACACACACACACACACACAGAGCAGCCTGTCGGGCAGAAGGCCTGTCAGCTGCAGTTCTTCATTCACAAATCACCTAGTGGACGCACAGACACACACACGCTCTGACCTCCACGCCGCACTTTCATTTCCTCTTTCCTCTGTTTACCCCTGTTGTTGTTGTTGTTGTGGTTGTTGTGCTTTATTGTCACTGTTGATCACGGTCTAACTGTGTGGCGCTGCACCGCCGGCCCTTTCGTTACGCAACAGCGGTTTCTGGATTTGTCCCACGGCCCGTCGTCCGTTATCCTCCACCGATGCAGCTACAGGTGAACCTGTGTGGCATCGCTTTGTAACCTACGTGTGGAGGAAACGCACAATCTACGCTCGCTTCTCTCTCTCTCTCTGTGTGTGTGTGTGTGTGTGTGTGTGTGTGTGTGTGTGTGAGATTGTGTGTGTTGGATAGAGCTTCTTGGACACGGAGCCTCTTTGGCTCGTGCCTGTCTGTTGATTCACTGTTGGTGAAATAAGACCATATGGCTGCTCTCTCCCTGCATTACATCACCTTGATATCCAAGCAGATCGGTTCTCATTAACAGCTCAAGGGGAGGGGGAGGGGGGGGGGGTTGTTGCAGAGCTGTGTTTTAGTTGTTTTGGTCGGGACGCGATGCTTCTCCACTCTGCGTCCTGCCCAACGCACTTTTCCTCCCTGGTTTTCATGCACTGACTCGATTTGGGTTTGAATATCTTCTGTGACCGCTCAACTTCTCTTCTTACTACGGCCAAACAACTCGGCTCTATTTCAAAAAGTGAGAAAATATTCTAAGCAAATCTATTAAACTGATTAATCGGTTACACATCTTTCACAATCCAAGTGTCCCTCAGGTTACATTTTCAATATCATAGTTTGGCGCTGCTACAAAAAGAAAAGCTGTTGTTGTAAAGTCCCACAGGCCTCGGAGGTGTAATCAAACCGCTTGTTCTATTTGATCAACACTCCAAAACCGAATCATTTAACTGAGATATGTGACAAAGAAAAGCAGCGCATGGGCACATTTTTAATAGCTGGAACTAATAAATGTTTGGCAATTTTCTTGTGAGGAATGACAAAAGCAATGATGTTTTTCCTGTAACGGACTCTGGTTGATCCACTAATTGTTGCAAAAAACAACAACATTCAATTAAATAAATACCTAAATATTTAATATAAATATTAAAGCGGACTAACTTGCAAACTGTTTGCCTTTCACGGTTTCGCTGATAAATGATCGTTTGATTTGAGGGCGGGCGCTCCAGAGACGCTGGCCGCTCATTGGCCTGCAGGTGAAACCTTTGGCAGAATGCGTTTGTCATCGCGTCACGGTTTCAGTCAGCTAACCGAAAACCAACGCCCACTGCCTGAAACCACCAAGGCTCGGGGGGGGGGGGCAGCCAAACTTAGATGTGGGGACAAATATAGCACGTGGCTGGTCACGCGTCCTATATTTAGCATTTCCTCTAAATATTTTCGACTCGTTTTCTCCACGTTTGCACAATGTCTGCCGCTCTATGGCTCCTTGTGCCGCTCTCCTTGTTCCCGATTGGGTCGGCTGCAGCTGTAAATACACGCCTTCCACACCTTCCAGTAAAGGAACTGTCTATCAATAGAACGCTCTTTTGTTATTTATAGAATAATCACGCTTGGTTTACCTTTGGAGTACACATTGGGTTCAGTGAAGTTCAAAGAGCTGAAAAGGGATTATCGAGATGCTCCGGCTTTGGAATGATCACTATGATTGTTGTAAACTGTCAGTCACACGTCAGTCACACATCACATTTAAACGGAGGATAAACTTTTGTCAACCGAGGAACTGCGGTAACATCAACAAGTGTCTGGAGCGGGTTCCAGCGGCACGCCAGCAGATTTTTCTGGCTCAAAATAGAGCTTTGTGGGTGCAGATCAGTCTGAAAGTGGGATTCCTTCATGGTTTGTTGCTGCCTGTGCATTTAAATATGGATACTAGAGCATCAGTATTATAGTTTGTCTAAAAGATTTTACTAACACAAGGTGAAGGACTAATGTTTGTTCCTTACCCGAACAGTTTATCATTGTTTCACTGGCATAATGCACAGATTGCAACCCTCCTGCACAATTTGTTATTTAAAAGGCTCCACTTCTACCACCACCAAAAATAGTTATAAGCCGAAAGCAGACAAACATCTGCATGATTTCTTTTTGAATATTTTCTTGGCATAGTTTTAATCTGGTCACGTTATTATTTAAAATAACGTCTAAAGTTAAGTAAAGCTCGTACGCATTCAGACGTAAGTCTGTGCAATCACCGTGACAACAGCGGCGTTGTTTACCAAACTGTACAAGAGTCACTGGCGTCACTGCTGGTGCTCACGCGTGGGAATCACACGAGGGGAGGGACAGGTGTCTTATCGCGTTCACTGGAACTCGACCGCATCCTCGTCCTCGGGTTGTTTTCTCAATGCTGAGCAAGAAAAAGGTGCCTTGCAAGTGCATTTTGAAGATATGTCGAACCGGCATCGCCGTGAAAACGCAGCGCGTCTGGCAGGCGCGCTATGGTGAAAAATCAGCCATATATTAATGACCTTGAGCGCACGCGCAGGTCGAAAAAGGTTGATCTGTAAACACGTGGATTAGGTGTGTTATCGGAACATTTTGCTTGCAGGGTTTGTCGTCCAGCGAGCGGAGCCTGCTCATTATTCATTTTCTACAGATGCTTTTTAGAGCTCCGATGGCTCTCCAGCTTTAAATTGTGGCGATCAAGGCCGGTTGAGGTTGTGGTTGGTTGGTTGGTGGGTGGTTGCATGTTGGTAGGGGGGGGTCTCTTGTCTATCTGTTGCTGGGCCTCTGGAGGGAGGCAAGGGGACCAGTGGTATGGGTATTTGTCGGGTGGGCTGGGTTTACACACAAACCCCCACGCAGACACACGTACTCCAAAAGGTGCTTCCAGTTCCAGACAAACTCTTCTTGCTTTCTATACTCTGAACCTCCATCATAAACTCCCAACAGGCACATTCTCAGACACGCCGTCCCACTTCTTCTCAGTGATGCATCTCCGTGGTCGTTTTGCTCCGTGAAGATCGGCCCCGGCGCCGTAGGAGTGACCGTGGTTCCGCGCGTCTCGCTGGGGCTTAATGGCCGTGCACGAAGCCCTAGAAAGCCAGGATGCTGAGAAGGAGGAGGAGGAGGAGGAAGAGGAGGACACCGCCTGTGTCTTCTCTCCTCTGACAGATGGCCCCGCGCCCAGAAACTCGCTCCGCGGGACGCAGCCAAAACGATCCCGGGCTCGGACGCTGACGCTCCATCGTGACACCAACCGGGGTCGGGGCGATATGTACGCTGTGTATTAGATGAATCAAATATTGACCAGTCACTGCGCGCCTCCTCCAATTTGCACCGTGGTGCGGCCGTCGGTCAGCTTCTACTTCTACTCCATCTTTAAAATCCGCAGTGATACTTCTTTAAAAATAATCAGCTGACCTACTTTAAATCTACTCTCATCAGGGTTTTTTTTCATGGCTCCGCGTAGAGGCTTCAGCTGTGGCTGCAGGCCGTTAGGTTTTCAGGGGGCGCGCGTCCGTCCCGTCCACTCTTAAAATACCTCGGGAACGCATGGAGGGCACAAGCCTCCACCCGGGCTGATTAGAATTTAAGTGGTTGGAGGTCCAAGTGGCCGTGACCTCTTTCTGCGTCACGCTGTCATGAACGTGCGATCTCACCAGCAGATTTAGCGCGAACGGCCACTCGGACTCAACAATGAACTCCTCCAGGCGTATCCGTGGCGATGACATTTTGGATATGGAGGAAAACAGGTTGCTTTTTCTTAAAAATAGATGAAATGTGGAATTGTCACAAGAAGGAATGATCAGGCAAGTATATCCTGGTTCATTGTGTTGGTTTCATGGCCTGCCGGTCTGGTTGGAGTGAGACTGAGGAGCATTCAGATGTTCTAAGTTCCAACAGAAAGTGAGTTTGTCTAGTTCCGCTCTGTGATTTGAACCGGAGCAGTTGTGGTTGTAATGAACCGCTCAAGGAGGATCTCAGGCTACTTCTCCTCGTGTCTCTCAGTCAAATATGAGTTACGCATATATAAAGATTCAGTGTGACTTACAGATGCAGAAGACATGATGATCCGATTGTGTAATAAACGTCCATAAATCCAAATATAAGTAATGGAAAAAAGATGCTCTTTATACCTCCCGAACTTCACGGAGCTATTGCATAATGGAAAAATTGGTCTTGATTAAAGTTTACATATTTGTCTCCCGTTATTTACTCAGACACACAAACCAACACGTGACCGCCTGGATTCCCTGAGCAGCTGTGAAGTATTTGCATTCGCATTTGACTATTTTTTTTTTTTTAGTCTCCCTTCATCCAGCCGGAGGCAACAAACATCAGCCCCCCCCCCCCTCCCCTTGGCTTTGACTTGAACGCTGCGTTCTGCCTCATCACTGTTAAAGAGGATGCACTTGATGAGATGGAAGATATGAAAATTAAAAAACAAGGCTTTACTATAAAGCCTCCTGTTGAGGGGATGAAGTGCCTGAGCTGCTTTAGGATCCATAAATGGGAATTCTTGCACACGCACACACACTTTTTTATTCATTTTGCAATTTTACAGCCGGGCAAAACATTTTCAGTTCAGTTTCAGTTTTGCAAAGCGTGTCTACTCTTTTACCCTTTTAAAAGACACTTGCTTGCCTGCCACTGCCGTGCATCCGCTTCAGGGGGGCGGGCTGAACGCTGCATTGTGCAAGTAAAATTAGCGAAGGTTCATCCTCTACATCTGCATCTTTTAGAAATAGCCTCATTCCCATTCAGCCACTGCTAAATGTTAATGTATTGTATCGCTAGAGGTACAAAGCGAATTCACCCCGTTCTGTTCTGCAAGAAGAGGACGGCACCGCGTGACCTTATCTTTTTGTTTCCGTCCCCTTCCTCGTACCACATTCCGAACTAAGAAAAATATTCCTGTGGAGGAAATGTGTTTGGTAGCATGATGTTCACACTGTGACAAGGACACCCAGCTGCAGAGGGGCGAGCCTTCTGCTGTGAGAGGGCTCAACACTGGCGACTCCGTCACCTCGACGAGTCGAGCGACGGGTTTACCAAGCCAATGTTGGTCTCCATGTCATGCTCTGGTAATGTGAAAACAAACCCAAACGCATTGAAAGAAATAAAAAGTAAACAGGAAATTATCTTAAATGGCTGTTTAGGATGTTCTTTCTCAAAAAGAGAACAAAAAAAGAGCAAAAAAAATGTGATTAGATGAAATATCCTCTTTCTTTGCATGCGTAGGTTAATGCGCATGCATGTGGATGGATATTTATTAACTTTGATGCAGAGTCTAACTTGTAATTAGTCTCAAATTTAACTGAAAATTTCAGTATTCAGTAAAGTTTTTTTGGCAGTTTGTATTTATTTGTTACTTTTTGTTTTGCCATATCAGGAAAACTATTGTGACCACGTGCAGTTGTGGTTGACAATGGAGGATTTGTTTAAGTAAAAACCCACATGTATGACATTCTACAAAAGTGCAAAAAGAAAATTCACGTAAACATGTAAATCTTCTGAGTTGTTCCATTGACGTAAACGGTTGGTGGAAGTAACCGGCCGTTTTCTCCACCTGTTCTGTTCCTTCACTTGACCATCAGTGCTACACGCACTTTCCTCTAGTCCTCATCGGTTTCTCATTTTACAGTAGAGTGAAATTTTAAATCCAATCTGATGTCGGCAGTAGTCAAAGCTTTAGAGGTGACTTTTCGGGGTCAGGTAATGGTCTGTAATATCAAAATAAAATAGTCCATCGGCGGCCTTAATCCAGAAATGTCCCTCGCACGGATCTTCCCATGACATTTGTTTTGAATTTGGAGGCCTGGTGTTTGGAGCGTTTAGACTGCTGAATAAAAATGTGGAGGAGGGAGGACGCATGGCATTAAAGAACGGAGAGTGATGTCAGAGATGCTTGGACGTGTTGTGGACGTTTTCCAGAGCTGCTCTTAAAAACTAGATTCCTGTGCCCATTTTTGAATTTCTTCTTTTATTTATCCTTAAACGTTTTCAAATTTTCCAGTTTTTTTATTCTTCTTCTCAGAATGCAGCAGCAATAGCACTCCACCTATGCCGGAAAAAGTGGGACCCTGAATGGGAGAAAGTGTGTTTTGAGAATATGAAGTAACTCCCTCCACCCTCTTCCCGTGATCAAATTAAAACACCAACCACTCACCCGGCCCCTCCACCTCTCACCGCTTTGCCAGCTGTGCAGCGACGGCTGCCAAAAGGAACACAAGCTTACGTCAACTTCCAAATAAGGAGCTGCTACTTCACTTTGACCTGAGAGAGAGACACTACTGGGGTGTGGTGGTGGGGGGGTTGGGGGGTGTGAAGGAGGTGGAGATAGATGTGGAGAGAGTGTCCCCTCCTCCTCATTGATACGCATGATATACCCAGCTACCTGTTTGTCAGCTCAGTGCACGTACGACAGAGACTCGATCACCCCTCTCTCTCTCTCTCTCTCTACTCCGTCACTCTCATTCATCCTTTTTCTCCCCCTCTCTCTCTCTCTCTCTCTCTCTGGCTCCGGCTCTCCCCGTTTCCAGCCATACACAACCGGAGGACAACACCACCTGCTACCAGGTAAAAAAAAAAAAAAAAAAAAGAGAAAAAGGAAAGAAAAAAATAAGCCATTGATTTCCTCTCCGTCATCTGCAGTGATTTTGATGTTAGTGACGTGATGTGAGTGTCGGGGGGGATTTTCTCCATTCAAGCCTTTGTTGTTCCGCTGACGGCTCCTCCATCAATGAGCCGGCGTTTGGTAACATAAAAAAACTAAGACTCATTTCTGGAATCATACTCGGAGCGTTTTGTTGCCGTGTTTGAAACAGATGCAGACAGTGTAGCTTCAGCCGTGCTGGTGTGTGTGTGTGTGTGTGTGTGTGTGTGTGTGTCTGTGTGTGAATGAAGGGGAGTGCGTGGTTTGTGGACTGTGTATGTACTCGAGCACACAGCTCAGACTGGGAGTGAATGAGCTCCCTGTGTTGTGCATCCAACCTCCCTCGCATGGCACGCCCCCCCCCCCTCCTATGGACTGGGGAGCACTCCCGGAGTGCGTTCACGTAAATACACACACACACACACAGAGGAAGGAATGGTTGTGCACGCTCTGACTCCCCGTGGGCTCCCCGCCATCAGGCTGCTGATGAAGTCGCGCTTGCTGACTCGACGGCGTTGCCCTGCGCTCAGCTGACATTGTGGCGGAGACACAGATGAGGCAGATGAGGGAATTTGTTGCTTAAGTGAGCTGATTTCGCGAGATGGGCTGATGTTTGAAAATTAGCACGCCTTTTTTCATTGTGTTTCAACACAAAATTGTCAGAGAAGTTGCCTTAGATACCATTGTTTGAGACATCTCATTGTTATTAGTTGTTATGTCATTTCAGAAATATCTATAGCCAATCCAATTTAGATATATTTCCTACACATAAATCAGTATGTCCCTTTTAAAATATTGCAGAGTTTCACAGTTTACAAAAATAAGTTTTTGAAGTTTATTTGGTTGAATTGTTTGGAATAATGTGGTTAATGTCAGTGTTATTTGTCATTCCCATGCATGCAATTTCCTCTCTGGCTCGTCTGGAAAGAACGGAGAAGTATCGGTGTACTACGGATTTAAGACTCCCAAAGTATTGATTTCTCTCTCAGAAAAGCCGTAGCTTCGAGGAGAGAGGCACCTCCGCCTGCTCTCTCGCTCTCTGTAGTCGAGGTGAGGATGCTGGAAGATAAATTTAGCCCTCCAGCTCTCCCTCCATCTGCTACCACATGGTTTAGGGCCGTTACCATAGGAACCACCGCTGGGTGCCCATTAGTGCGAGAGAGGGAAATTGACAAGTTTTTTTAAAAAGCCATTTGCACAATATTCTCTATATATATATTCTCTATTCGCGTCGTGTGTGAACGGATGCAACATGTCAGTTTTTTAGTTCACATGAGGTGATGCAGCTTACTCGGCGTGACTGCGTGCCCACATCACAAAAATATCACATAGCGTATTTCATTTCATTTAGTGTCATTATATAAAGTGACCACAGGTTTTTTCTTATTTGCACTAAATGCAATACATATTTATATTGCACACACTGCTCATATCGCCCCTTATGAGAACAACCAACCTTTTTCACAGTGATAGGCCAGTGTTCATGCAGGACGCTGCCAGGAAAAGCTCAGGTGTGATTAGTAATATTAATGACGGCTGCAGTACATGAAGGTGCGGTGGTGGTGCCATGAATCCACTATAGTTCACACTGACTCACCCGTATGGCTTGTAGGAACAACATAACAGGAACAAAGACATGGATCGAATGCGATTTGTCAGAATGTCTCCGGAGAAAAAACATACAATGATTAAAACAGCGCTCCACCCATTTAGCTTCACACGTATATTATTGTGAGACTCACCATGGACAGTTAGAAAAGAAAAAAAGCCTCTCTAATTCCAACTCCATTTCTGTCACCTGACCGACACTCATTTAGTATCATAATATCACTGCAGGAGACAGTAAGATGAATAAAAGGGATGTTGGTTTAAGATCCATCCAATCCTGGCATGTAAACTCTTCCTACAAATTAAACCGAAAGACGCTCATTCACATGTTGTCAGTAATTTGGATTTAATCCAGCATCTTTGCCGTCTTCTAGCAGAAACGTGGGCGTAGAAACCAGCTGGTCAGCGCGTGGGATGGCTTGTTTACTGTTTCAGCATGCTGGCACAAAATCACATCGGGAGCTCTCTTCAGTATCTCCACCTTGTGTGTGTGTGTGTATGTGTGTGTGTGTGTATGTGTGTGTGTGTGTGTGTGCGCTCACAGTTACCAGCCACCTTCCCGCCTTCCTTTTGGCTCGGCTCGTTTGACTTTTTCAAGAGATGATGATCCATACTCGATTGGGTGATGAAGCAGAGATCCATGTCCTGCAATGTGGCAGTACTGTACGGCAGCACTGTCTGACGAGCATCATCTCGAATGAAGCGTGGCTTGATGACGAACGCGCGGCATTCATTCGAGCGTGCCGAGACATTGTGCCTCGGCCCCTTAGTTCATCGCGGTGTGATTAATTATGCAAAGAAATTTCTTGCAGGATAATTCCATTAAGACAAAAATAGGTGCTTATATGACATTTTATGAGTAACTCCTTCTAGCAGGAGGATTTGTATTTCAATTTGATTTATTTGTTTTGAAAGATTCAGAGAACAAAGAGTCCAAATGATAATACTATTGTCTGTTGGTTTTTGTTTTTTTCTTGCGGATTTGGGTCTTTGTAGGATTGGACAGGATCCGGCAGAAAAATATTACAGTACATGGTTACAAATATAAGTAATGCATGGTTGATTTAAAAATCGGAGAAGATTACGACAAATTGAGATTACGCTGCATTGAAATGTTGCAGCCAGTGGACATAAAGCCGCTCTCGTTTGCAGAATCATCGTTTTCATCTTCTGGATCCTGATATATTTTTAGACAAAAATATTGCATAAACCATTCTTATTTAACTGTATTCAGCCGCCGCGGGAAACAAATGTGAGAGCTGAATGTTATGACATGAGTGATTATACAACATATAAAATGTAAATATCTATATTTAGCAAAGAGAGGGTTGGGGGGGGGGTAGAGGGCTATTTGTGTGTTGAAGTTGGACTGTATGCTGTTTTATATAACATTTTGTTTGTCTTTACAGATCTTCACGCCGAGAAGAGTGAAGACTCATGAATTGAATTGAGTTTACCGAGCGTCTGACTGGCCGAGCGCTTCGCGATGGGACGCTTCAAGTTTGCCCGGCAGAGGACGTCCTCCACCACGCCGGACGTGTCACGGCTGCATTCTTTGATGCAGCCGTTGAACATTTGACGGCATCATTCTGCCGTCAAGCCGTAAAGTTGAACCGAAAACAAGCGGAAAGTTATGAGGCACTCTGAAGTGGACATCATTTCATAGAATTCACTCCAGTTCATCTCCAGTTAATGACTCGGCGTGCGCTCTGTAGCCGGACGCGGGCGGACGCATCCCACGTGTCTGCCTGAGGCTGTCCTCCCATTTTATGGAGGCCTCGCATAGTCGCCTCACGACTGGGGAGGAGGCCGGAGGTCAAGAGCGTCGTCAACCAGAGTCTCCTCACCGAGGGCCGCGGCCGAAGTCTCCCCCCCGGCCCCGGCGGCAACACCTGGCGGGCTCCCCGAAACCCCGTGGCACGCCGCAGCAGCCCAAACCGCCCCGGAGGCAGCATCCTGAACGGAAGCGCCTCAGGCACCAGCGGCAGAGCGCCGAGTCGGACGCAGCGCTGGAACACAGTCATGAGGGGCCGAAAGCGAGCGCAGTTTCCAGTCCGTCACCGGGCTCGGCGGGAGGCCCCCCCCGGTCCAAACCGGACAGCCAGGACGGCGACCCGAAACCGAAACGCGAGCGCAAGCCTCAGAGACCCGGCAAATACGTCTGCACGTACTGCGGCCGCGCGTGTGCCAAGCCGAGTGTCCTACAGAAGCACATCCGCTCACACACGGGGGAAAGACCTTATCCCTGCGCCCCGTGTGGCTTCTCTTTCAAGACCAAAAGTAACCTGTACAAACACCGCAAGTCGCACACGCACAGGGTGAAGGCGGGTCTGGCGCCCGGGGAGCCGAGAACTTTGGAAGAGCAAGTCACCGAGTCGGAGGATGAAAGCAGACAGCTGGTGTCGGCCTCTTCCCTCGCGGAAAGACAAAGCGGCGCGGCCTCAACCGAGAGCCGCGAGACCGACCGGGCCAAAGATGGCGCCACGGGAAACGAAGACTCTCGGGCAGTGAAAAAGAGACTGGCCCTGCGTCTGAGTCGAGGGAAACCCGGCTCTGACGAGAAGACCTCGTCGCTCATTTTAGGGAGCAAAGGCAGCACAGAATCAGGCTATTTCTCTCGCTCCGAGAGCACCGAGCGGTCACAGGACAGCCCGCCGAACACAAGTGCCAAAAGCTATGCAGAAATCATCCTCGGCAAGTACGGGCGTCTCGGCCACCTGCAGCGGATGTCCCGGCAACATAACCAGCAGCCCTCTGGTCAGGAGGACAAAAACATGGCATTCACGGTCCCCAAGAAGCAGGTCATTGATCACATCACCAAACTCATCACCATCAACGAGGCGGTGGTTGACACCAGTAAAATTGACAGCGTGAAGCCGAGGAGATTCTCCCTCTCCAGGAAGAATAGTTCAGAGTCCCAGAAGAGTTCATCCGTGAAAGACGCATTAATCCACAGCCCTAAAGCTGGAGACCCGAGTTATAAAAGCAGTGGCTCCATCACCATGGGAGTTCCGTGTGAAAAATTTCAGCATCCGTCCTCAAGTGCGGAGCAGCCGGCTGGCCAAACGTCCAACGCCCCTTTGGTAAGAAGTCACTCCATGCCGGCCGCAGCCAGTTCATTCGACGCCTCCAGCGGTGGCCTCGGTAAGTTCCGCTTAACTCAGTCCTTCGACGAACACCAGCCGCCTGAAACGCAGGCGTCCCGTCGCTACCGGATGCTCAGGCGCCAGCCAGCTATTGAGATCCCGCTTGGTGGGGAACTTTCGAGAGAAGAACGAGAGGGTTCTGGTTTACTTCACCCCGACAGGGTTACCGCCGTGCCTGACCACAGGCAAAGCCAACCGCTGCCATATGAGTGCGAGGCCTGTGGCACCGGATGCAATGATTGGGAAGGTTATAAGAGACACAAGAAAAGCCTGTGCTTAGCGCATCGTCCCAAAAACGACGTGGTCGTTAGTCAAATGGGGGGCTCGCCGCCAACAAACCATGCGGTCAGAGCGGGAGCTTCAGCAATGCGCAAGAGAAGGAAAGAAGAGAGTTTAGAATTGGATGATCCCTCGTCTCCTTCGTTACCTTCTACTGCCCTGTTGCCAGGACAGTGTAGGGACGAGAGCAATGTGGCTTATGAGGGGCCCAGAAGACCTGCTCTTCAAACCTGTTCTGTAATCCAACACACTCGTTCCTTTGAGAAACAGGAATCGTTTTGCATCGACGGACTAGAGGCACCAAAAAACTCTCCACTTCACGAAGATTATCAGAGACAACCCCAACATTCGACAAAACCAGCGACTGGACAGCTGGCCGCCCAACATGGTGTGCGGGTCCCCGAAATACTGGTCACAGAGGATCCCAACGTGAGCGCGTCGACCTCGATAGAGCCAACACCCTCAGTGAAACCTCCAGAGAAAGCGGAGGAATTTCAGTGGCCGCAGAGAAGCACCTCTCTGTCCCAGCTCCCCATCGAAAAGCTCCCTCCGAAGAAGAAGCGCCTACGTCTAGCCGAGGCTGCCCAATCCTCCGGGGAATCCAGTTTCGACTCCGTGTCCCTGCCCCGCAGCCCTAGTCAGGACAGCAGTGCGTCTTATGCGTCCAGCCGTTCCACATCCTTCGAAGAGTCGAACAGACCCGACCTGGAGACGGCGGGTCCGACCCCGCTGAGGAGGTCCAGGGCTCCTCACATGTTGACGGTGCCCGGGGCGCATCAGCAGCGAGAGATGAGGCGCTCCGCGTCGGAGCAGGCGCCTCACGACCCGCAGCGGAGTGTCCTCATGGCCGAGGCCCGCAGTAAGTCCTTTGACTACAGCTGTCTGTCCCCCGAGCGCTCGGCAGTCGGCTGGAGGGAGAGGAGAAAGTGTCTCCTTGTAAGGCACACTGCCATTAGAGATCCAGATGAGGAGGCGGAAGAGGAGAAGCAGCGCACCGCGCCGAGCCAAAGTCCCGAACGCGTGAGCTCCACCGCGTCTTCTAAAGTCGGCCCGGCTTCTGTGCAGTGCAGCAGGTCCCCCGCCTCGCCTTTGTCGGGTGACGCAGTCACGCGTAAGCCGGGGAGATTGCAAGGCGAAGACATCTTCTCTCAGTGGAAGCTCGGTCAAAACGTTCAGTTGACAGGCAGCGCGGAACGTATCGCGTGTATAGATCCCGTAAATGAGGCCTCACGCGTCGACGCAGAGCAGCCGCCTCTTCGGACACCGCGACACTATCCTCCACACGGACCATCAGGGGCAGCCAGGGCTCACTATCTCCCCATGTCTACAGGGCTGAAGCTCGAGATTCCCTTACTGCGCGGTGATTATTCAGAGGTCCGGCTAAATCCCTCGCACATCCAGCCCGCGGCCTCCCCTCACATCACTTCCAGCCTGGAGCTCCTGAGGCCCGTCCCGTCTCCAGCAGTAGCGGTGCGTCTCCAGACGGACACGCTCAACCTGGCGTGTGCCATTTACACTTCGTTTTCTCGGTCCACCTCCCCAAGGCCCCAGGAGGCGGTCGATGCTGTTTCACAAAACACGGGCCACCCAACAGCTGAAAGACAACACAGGAACACCAGTACAGACCCTCAAACGTGGTCGGACGATGGCCTGAGGGTACCAGGCTCAGGGGGCAACAAGCGCATGCTCTCCCCTTCAAACAGTATGGAGCTCCCACCCGAGTCACAGCAGCAGCAGAAACGAGTAAAGGAGGAGGAGGAGGAGGAGGGGGAGGTGGGACGTGCCGACGGGGCATCCGTGGACCCTCGCAATCAGGTACTCAAAAGGGAAAATCAGACACGTCTACCCAGTGTTTGTTCTTCCATTGCACATGTTGGCCCCTCGTACCCCGGTCTGCTGTCCAGCACCTGTAATAGCTGGTGCTATTTAAACTACATTAAACCGAACCCTTGTACTCTGGATGAACAGAAGCCCTCAGTGTACTCGTCGTGGTCCACCAGCGGCTATGACCCCAACCCGCCTGGCCTCTCAAGCCGGACGGCTCTCTCCTTGCTGCAGTGCAAGCAGAGGCTCAGTCCCTCCATCTACACCGTATCCCCCATGTCAGTCAGGACGTCTGAGTCCATGGAGCAAGAGGACACCAAGAGGCCGTGCTCCACTGAGGTAGGTAATTAAATATTAACAGGAATCTGTGTATCGATGGCACTGTGTGTAAAAAGAAAAAAAGAACCACCACTAGAGAACATCTGGATATGTCACGTTTATTTGTCTGATCCCCCCAAAAATGAGAGAGATTTTAGTTAACATGCAAAAGAACACATTTTATACTGAGATATACCTTTTTTAGATGGTTGGGGACCAAAGCCACCGACCCAAGGGTAATTTTTACATCATTGCTAGGTCAGCGTAAACAGACTCTTGACCTTTTCTTCTGTATAGAAGGTGCAGCATAGTTTGGGTTTGCATTGCAGGATTATAACAAGGGTGCATGTATAAGAGTGTATAGAAATCTTAACAATGATGAATCGCAATGGACAAAATACTACATGTGCTTCAACAAATGCCATTTAAAACCAACGTTCAAATGAGACTTCCCAATTTTTGTCTCCCTGGGCATGCTGGAGCAGAGTTGGTGAATTTGCCCATGTCTCTTTCGGGTGTAGGTTTACAACAGCCACCCGTACCGCAGGGACCCCGAGGGAGCGACGAAGGGACAGCTGTCAGCGGACGGCAACGGCTCCCACAGAGAAGGAGAGAGGGAGGATGAGAGGAAGAACGCGGAGGAGGAAGCACAGTCGGGCTCCAGAAACAAACCAGCTCCCGAAGTTTGGAGCTCGGAGCGAGGGTGAGTACCATCTCGCGACAGTTGAAGAACACGAGCTGATGGTTTACCCGTGACATACCGTCTGTATTTACAGCGTCAAATCCCCTTTATTACGGCTTGCGCCATATATTGTGGTATGTTGTGTAAACCGTCTGTTGAGGGGCCGAAGCCAGCGATCTACCTCGTTCCTTTGCGCCCGCAGAGAATAATTTACCATTCACATGCAGCAGCAGCACGTTTCACCCTCGTCCATTAACACCAATGGAAGGGGCAGAAAGTGCACATGTCCATACATGGCATCAGTCGTTATACGGAATGTGATTGGGCAGAAAGTCAGTGTTCAAAAAGAACAGCCATGGATTCTTCAGACATGAGAGAACAAAAAGAGTATTTCGACACGTATTTGTTAGTTGTTTTTTTCTGTCCTTTTATTGTGAACTGGGTCAGGTCCACACAATCTAATTTCAATGTCATCATCTTGTAAAAAAAAAACAACCAAAAAGATAACTACAAACAGCAGGGCAAGAATAGGCAGAAAAATGTGATGAAACTGCTAAAACTCTGAGCACTTCCCGAGCGGTCGCCCACTCCGCTCTTACTCATTTTCTCCTTTCTGCTGCTTTGGATTTAATCCAATAAACCGACTATCATAATGCACACGGACCCTGTGCCTCAAAAAGCCCCCCAGCTCTACTTCCTCTTCTTCGCCTCTCATGTTGGCCTGAGGTCAGACTGACCTTCAGTGACTCACTGTCGTCCATCGAGGTACGAGGGGAGGACGGGGGGATGTAGGGGGGCTAGCTGGTTAGTAGACATCTCTGTAACACAATACAAAGACTTCTCTCATATGAGGTCAATTGTTCATTTTTAAAAATGTTTTAAACCTAAATTCTGTTCATATCTTACACATGCTCCTGAAGGATAGGCTCACAACTTGTCAGGTGTTTATCAAACTAGTCGCGAATTAATATCAACACTTTGGCCGTAGTTATTCATCCACATCACAGAAAGGCTCCAGCTGTCCAAGATGTTTTGGTACAATTTAATACAGTTTGTGTAGAATTTCTTCTTTTTAAATATGCTGTAACGCCCCAACAAACGTACGGCCGACCAATTAACCGCTGTTCACAATGTGGCTATTTTTCACGTTATTAAATGATAGATAGTCACAGGTCAAAAAAGTCATTTAATTCCAGTTAGAAAAGATAACATAAGCAGCAATGACTGATTCTTAAGTAAAGTTAAAAGCAAATGTTTAAGGTGTACATTTATTTGTTTTAATTAAAGTCGCATGCACCCCCTCAAAAGTCTTTGCTGCGAGGTTAAGCCAGACACGCTCAGTACCTCTGATACCCATCAGAGATAAACGCTGCAGCGATGCAGGCGATGTGAGGGGCCATCTGCGTGTCCCTTTTCGGTTTTGGGATTGTGTGTGTGTGTGTGTGTGTGTGAACAATTCTCCTCACATCGTGAGTCATCCTCGCGCCTGCTCGCTTTCTCCTTCGCTGTCTGTTCAGCCTGTCTGAGGGTCAGAGAGGCCAAACCGAGGCAGCGAGCTGGTTAAACACGGGTTTTTGCTGCGGTTAGGAAAAGCGAAGGCAGAAGCACCGAGGCTCAGATCTCGGGCCTGAACGGCTGCTGCATGAAAAGCCGAATGAATGCAGGTGCTTCTCTTTCACAAATTCTTTCAAGACCCTAAAAGCCAGCGCTTACAGAGTTCATCCAGCCGCGAAGCCGGTAGTGAAAATAGAAGAAAAAAACGCTGATTATAATCAGAACGATTGTTGCTCGTCGGGATGTGTTTTCACTTTCGGGGTTTTTTTCATGCTTATTTGCAGCAGCAGCTGGTCTGGGCCTGGGTTTCCCTCCCTCTCCGGCCTGTTTTTATTGGCATGGCCCGAAGCAAACCCCCGAACCTTTGGCCACATCGTAGACTCCACCTTGTTTGGACATGGCGGTGGTGTGAGCTGTGATGGGGTTGTACGGCCGTGCGAGGGGGGGGGGTTGGGCGGTCTGGTTTTGGCTTATGAAAGCTGCTCTGTTCGAGCTGAAGTGGGCGCCTCGCTGAGGGACCCTCGGTGTACATGGAGGGGTGGGCCCCGGGCCCAGCTGCCACAGTGCGAGGTCACTCTGTAGAAAGTGCCAAGCGGCCCGTTAGCAGGTGCTAACGGACCCGCAGACAGTCTGTCAGCTCCAGTTACACTCATATTGATTGCGACCCGCATCCCGAAAAGGAGCCGAATTAATGAACAAATAACAGGGAAAAGCTCCGGGGCCCGAAACTGAAACCCCACTGCTCTCTTGACGCACCCCACAGATCAAATGAGAAGCGTGCTCTCGTGCACTGCGGCGGCGGCGGCGGAGAGAGGTGCCAGTGTGTGGACTGCCCATTCAACCTTAAGAGTACCGCCAGTGTGCTGCAAAAGTGCCCCCGTCGCATCACAGAATCCCCACCGCGTGACTGCGAACACTGCTACCTTTCTGTCGAGGCCGAAGGTAGGGAAGCTCCCGGTGACGTCCGGGGTTCACCGTGCGTCCGTTGTGAGCACAGCCCGTCTGTTGTTGTTGTTGTTTCACAGGAAGCCCCATTGAACACTCGCGATCCGAGTCCCACGGAGAAGAAGTGTGTCGTAACCCAGATGGGTCAGATGGAGGTATGACGTGCGTGCTGTATTTGATCGAATACCAGCCACGTGTGCCACTGCTCTTTTAATGTGAAAGAACTGCATTAAACGGCATGTGTCTGTTTCTAACTTTCATGTCCTGTGCTTTCTTTTTCTTGGAGTGACTTTTACACATTAGCTTACCATTAGCATCTGCATTAGCTTTCCGTTGAATAGCTGATCTATTAGCATGGACCAACACATGTTACACTTCGGTATCTTGTGGAAGCAGCCAAACACACAAGGGGAACGTTTTTCAGCTTTAGCAACAAGGATGTGGTAAATATTGAAATTCACTTCATTATTGTTGTCCGTAGGCGCCGCCGCCTCATGTCGCTTCAAGCACTCCTTCTATTGGCAGCTACCCACAAGCACATCCGCCGCTGTAACCTGAGCCACATGCACAGTGTCTCTGAATTGATGAATAACAGCGCTGTGATTCTGTTGACTTTGTCCCTTTTGATTGAGCGTCGTAAGAAAGAGAAATGTAAACATTGGTCAGCCGCATATCAAACTCCTGGGCGTCGAAGATGTCAGATATGCGGGTGAAGAAACATGGGAGAGGCTGTTAAAACATTACACCCAGGGACAAAATGTGCTACGCTGGTGCCAAACCTGCCACAGCACACTTAGACGGGTCCATTTTACTTCCTGGATGGCTTTACACATTCGTGCGGTTAGAAAGAAAAATAATGATGACTGATCGATATCAGCCGCCTACACTTGATACTTTGCGTGAGAATGTGACTTTAAAAAAGATGCTTTTTTTTCTGTCCTAGGAGTCTGTGAAAAACGTCGCCCGGATGAACAAAAAGGTCCTGAGGATGAGCATGCAAGGGAAAAAGATGGCAGACCTGATGAAGACAACAGGGTCGAGGTGGCTGAAAGCTCTCACACCGCCTCTCCTGACAGCGGGGAACCTCCCCCGGGAGGCCGGTCGATGGAGCCCGAACCCGGCCGGTCCGTCACGCTTTCCCCCAAGAGCTCGGCCAGCGGCAGGAGGGCCTTGTTCGCGCGCAGGCGCCTGGACGCGTCCACGTCGGCGTCCTCCGAGGGCTCCCGCTCTCCGCGCCCTCGACCCCTGATGCCACGCGGGGACCCGTCTCCACCCCGGAGCCCGTCACCCAGAGCGCGCCGGTCCCCCGCTCCCCTCTCCTCCCCGTCCTCGCCCAGTTGCCATGTCTCCAGCTCCACTCTGAGACCAGTCGTCCCGGTGAGAGGTCTTTCTCCTGTAACGGTCCAGCCCCACGGGTCAGAGTCCCGTGGGCCTGCGGGCTCCTTCGCGGACCTCTTCGCTCCGTCTAAAGCTCGTCTTCACCCGGGAGGCCGATCGGCTAACGCAAGACCGGTGAGACATAACATGCTGTGCGGCATTTGCATCGTCTTTCGACATGTCTTCCAACCCGGACCATTGTTTAGGTCTCGAATGCGACGTGGCGCTCTGTTTTTTTTGTGGAGTGCGTATAATTAACGCTGGTCAAACCGCAGCCCGGACTCACCTGTGACTTCCTCCTCTGTTCGTTTAGCCGACAGTTTTAAATACATCAGCTCTTTGCTCACAAAGATAATCTTGTGCGGCTCAGTTAAATCCCAGTAAGTCAACATCTAGAACAAATATAGATAGGGTGGTACATATGAGGTTATTTTAAAGTCGCACACCTATTGGAAAGGGGAAGAAAATAGGCAGCTCTCCCTCCGTTTTGTATCACTCAAACCTTAAAATAATGCGGGTGAGCTCCCAAATAGACGCGACATGTTTTCCCTTGTCGGCCGCCGATAAAACCAGAGTAAGTACCATAGATTGGAACCGCATGTCGACGACAGAACATGAATATCATCAATTCACCCAGATTAAATAAAAGCAAAAAATAAAAGCCTTTCCAGACGTGTGGTTCTGTTTTGGTGTGTGACCTCACCACGTCCTCTTTACTAATATTGGTCTCATGGGAGTAGATACTAAATCACACAGAGACGTATCTGTTTACATCCACCTGTAAACTGGGTGTGTTTTGTAAAGGGAGACATTTTTAAGTATCTAAATATTTGATGTGTACATATATACTGTATATACTAAAAACTAAAAAAACTGCTTTCTTCATAATCTCTTTAATATAGGTTGTCTCACTGCACATTTATTTTACTTGTTTTAATATTTTGATTATATTAGAATAATAAAAAGCTTTATCAAAGTATATATACTCACACTTAGTAGCAATGCATCACAATACAAAAACACCAAATAGTTAGATTGGCGTCATTTAGACGCAGTGACACTATTAGATGACAAGTTTATACCAATTATAAAATGTCCCGCACATACTTACATCATACATGATGTGCGATTCACATGCGACTTGATGTGAACCCCACATCTCTTTTTTTAAAGTTGTATTCACCAAGCAGTCGTCGGCAACAACAATTAACTGGCCGGGATCCTTAAAGCTTCACTTCATCACGTTTTTTGTCTCCGTAGTCTCCGCCCGAGGAAGGTCAGACCCCGGCCCCTCCGCCCCCCACGCGGCCCCGGGGGGCCCACACCCTCCTGAGTCACCTGCCTCTGCACTCCCAGCCGCCGAGCAGGTCGCCGAGCCTCCTCATTCCCATCGGTGGGATCCACATGATTCAGCCCAGGTCCACCCTCCCTCTGTACAGCCTGGTGAGCAGCCCCGCGGCGGTCTGCCTCGCCGGCCGATCCCGGACGCTGAGTGACCCTCCGAAGGGGGGGCTCCCTCCGCCGCCACGGCCCGAGCCGTCGGAAACAGTCGACCGTCGGGGGCGCCTCGGGGCCCGGTGCCCGGCGAGTCCCGGGACGGAGACGGGGATCCCGGAGGTCATCGCAGAGGTGCGCGTTTACCGCGAGGAGTCCACCCAAGGCCCAAAAAAGGCTCCTTCCTCCCAGACACAACTCTGATAGGAGGGAGAGTCCGAAGGGACGGACCCAAAGACCAGAGCCTGTTTTTTTTTAAAACGCAGCACTGGTTTGGAGGCCGAGGACGAAAGGCGAGGGCACCGCTTCTGAATGATCCTGTTATGTAATTATATGAATAATATATAAGCACTATGTTAGATATGCAGTATGTTTTGTAAATCTTTTTTTACCCTCTTGTTTGATGTCATCGGTGTTAATTTATTTATGTGCTATTATGCAAATTCTGTACTATATGCAAAAACAGCTGGAATGAAAATAGATAAAGTTTTAATCAGTTTCCCTATTAACCCATTCAACAGCTCTAATATAATATTGCTGTGTTTATGTACTGTATTACAAAAATGGATATAGAAAGGTACCACAAATATTTATTTACCCCGACCAGTATTTTAAAGTGCAATTTCATGTCAAGATTGTGGGTTTGAAATGTCATTCTTAAACGCTGTGATTATTATTATTTGTCAGGTTTTTTTGTTTTGTTGTTGTTGTCTGTTGTTTTTGTTCAAAGAAGCAGGGTTACGATCACCTCCTTTTCTATTGTCTTCAGGAAAAGAGTTTTCAGATGAAGACATTCGGAGTGCACTGACAAATAATTTGATACCCAGAGGAAACCTGTTTCACGTATATGGTAGCTACGGTACGGTTTTTTTCATAAAACAGATACATGTATTTTTGTGTTGTTGCTTTTATAAATGATACAATCACTCTCTGTCCTTTTCATGTTTGCCATTAAACTTCTCATTTTTACAGATTTATATTAAAACTGTTTTACACGCGTCCTCTTTTTTTTCTTCAAAAAGTGCTTCCCTCTCTCTTTCAACTTCTAATTCACATAAAGAAATGAATGGAAATCAATTGCACGTTGAAATTCCACCTCAACTTAAAATCTGCTTTACAGCCAACCTCGATTAAATAAATTATCTGCATCCTTTTTCTGCACTCTTGTGCTGATCCGGCTGTGAAGGGCAGCTCGTCTTTGTTTCCCAGACCTGAAGGTGTCACGTGTGACCACCGGGTGGCAGCAGAGAGCGGCTGAAACTCCGTGCATGACGTCACACGTCAAGGGGAACCGATCATCCGGGAGGTGATGGACGTGCAGCAGGAATAAGCAAGTAGAGGGTCACCGTTAGATAATGTACAAGTTTTATATTTGAACATGAAAATCAAATAACTTGTTATACAAAATTCCTTGTAAGTAATCAAGGGGGGAAGTTTTGTGGAGATGTCCATCTCTTAATTGTTTTCCTTTTCTGTCATGCAAAACGTATGGAATTTTATCTCTCCATTAGCGTCTCCTAGTTGAGCTCTGAGACCTCAGTAGCACTTATAAACACAAACTTTCCGGTTTCAGTACATTCAGAGGGTTTTACCTGTGGGTTGTTTTCATACATCATTCATTCTCTTAACAGAATATTTTATGTCGATGAAATTAAACAAGAACTTTGAACCAGGCTTCGTCCAATGTTCGTTTGTTTGCACAAATGCATACAAATTAACCTTGTGCCTAATTACTATATGAAAGCGTAACTTGAAAACTTTTGTGACAAAAGCGGCCTTTGTGTTCAAACATTAACCCCGCCGTGTGTTGCCTTTAAGTCCCTAGAGATTCTTTATTTCTTGTTTATCGTTCGATTGATCATTTTATGATCATGATTGTTCACTCCTTCCTTCTACAGCGCTCTGCAAACAGCTGTGACTCCACGGCCACTATCTACACGGCCCTTAGATTTATATCGTTACAGATAATTATTGACAGAACACAAAGAAGTGCTGCAATAAGGTTCACTGGAAGAGGAAATCCAAAAAACACAATCAACAAAGGGATTTTCCCCTCTGACATTGAAAAAAACCGAACGTGTCTACGTTTACTCCTTTTTGCTGCTTTCACCTTAACGGTGACTTGTTTTCATGCTTCTGGGCCCAATGTTTACTCGCCCTTTTACTAACTTGTGTCATTACAGAACCAGCCATTAACCCCATTCCCCTCCCGTGGGCCCGCCCATGTCCACACCAGGATCTCTTTGAACTTTGACACACAGATATGGAATCGAGGACTTGCCCTCCCTTGTTTTTATGACCACTGCTTTGTTTTTCTCCTCCTTGGATTGGAATGATTTTAGACATCAGCTGGTTGGTTTGTTTGATTCCCCCACAGCTTTTTTACTTTACACTGCAGGTTCTTTTTTATTTCTTTTTTTATTTCATTGACAAAAAACCTTGAGTTGTAAAGACTAGCAAGTCTCACTATTTCTGTAAATGGGAACTCATAAAACGCTGAGCGTTTCAAAACTATGGACCTCATATATTTATTATTAATTTATTTAGATGGATTTTGTTTTATAATGTCCTCTTGTAAAAATAATACGTATAAGTATTCAAACTGCTGGGGGCCAGTAAAAGGATGACATCATTCTAGGTCGCATGGTGGTCATATGTGACTTGGGGGGGGGGAGTGGGGGGGGTTGGTGTTTGGTCTTCATTAGGGATGCTCCTATCCAAGCCTCCATCTACTCATATGGGTGCATATTCTTCACCTGAGTCATATCAGGGCTACGTCTCTGTGTGTGTGTGAGTCACTGCTCTTCTTTTACCTCAAATGCCATCAACAGTAGCCCCATTGCTTCCCTTTACACATTTCTTAAGGTTGACACTTAACAACTACTTTTATGAAAGTGGACTATATTTTCTAAACAAACATCGTGCTTCTTGTCTCAACCGAAGCATCCGTTATGAAGCCCTGACGAACTGTGTGGGAAAGGGAACAAAAGAGAAAGGGATTCAATCAGCAGCTGCAGCGGAGAAGAAGCTGCAGGTGTGTGGACGTCAACAACCTCTGCGTTGCCTAGCAACGTTGCCGAGTTTGTCCCATGATGTGTGAAAATTAGTATTATCAGTTGTATCTGTATAGCGATGCACATATCGGTGGATGCCTTTGAAAGAGACTGGTTAGCTAGACGAGCTAAGGGGCCAACAAGCCCATAAACAGCTCCATAGTGGAGCGGATGCCATGCTCGTTTCCTGCCCGCTGGCCTCAGATCACACATTCATTTATTACCTTCTAAGTGTGCGTGTTATTGTGTCACGGGCCATACGTTTAACCTCACGCTGGAGGAATTCCGAGGGATTCAGCAATCACGGTTCCGCTATTTGTTTGTCATCGGGTCGCCTCACATTCCTCAGCAGCGGCCGGAAGTTGGAAATAGATAAGGGCACATTTTTTTTACACCGCGACTACAGTGGCAATATTTTCCTTTTGCCGCCTTGTCTGGTGAGAGCAGCAGGGGAAGGGGACAGGGGGGGGGTTCCTTTAGATTGAGCTCATTGCTCCAGTCTGCACCGCCAGACAAATATTTGCTCTATATTGTTCTTCACTGTAACAAATAGTTGGGCACATGCCAGTCCTTGTGTGTCGTGACATCCTCTTTCGCCGTTTCCCTGCAGCACTTGACCCCTAAAAACTATGACTACACACAAATGTCTGTGTTACACACAAGTGTTTTTTCCTGTTTCTGAAGGTGGCTCTTTTTATTGACTGCTTTCCTGCTTAAGCCGTGATGTAAAACATTTCCACATTTGCAAGATGTTCCATCTTTGAGCTGAATGACGTCCTGTTTGTCATTGGCTTTGGGGGGGTCTGGATTCTTTTGGACTTGAAGCCATGTACGGCAAAGAGTGTTTGACACATATTAATATCTGCACAATAGAGAGGTATGCATATAGTATATTTGTACAGTAAACAACATTTAGGGTTTAAGTTCAAATACAAGATTTAGGTTCTGGCATTGCAAAAAATACAATTAGGATCTGCATCCAAAGAATTTGTTACCTAACTGTACATGTTTCATTTTCTGTTCAGGATGTTCAGAAAACAGTCTTTATTGGAAGCTGCGTTATACAACAAAGATCAATTTCATTCAAATATATTTAAGAAAAATCTATGTCAACTTAAATTTGGCAATAGTTACTTTTAATAACAAATATTAATAGATTATGAATCCCCTTAAGATGAGGTACACAATATAGGACATGCAGCACAGAGTGTCTGGCATCCCGTTATCAGATGACTCGGCTCCTCATGGCTGTACATGGTCGTGGATTTGAATTGCACCCAGAGTGAGGAATCCCTGACATACTGTATCTCTTTGGACTGCATGGACCCTCAGGCTTTGCTCGTATTCACAATGTCACAATGACAGGCAGTGTGTGTGTGTGTTTTGCAGTATACCCACTGTGGTTTGTGCGTCTGTGTGGGTCACAGAAAGCTGATGTGGCAGGCGGGCGAGTATCTCTTTACGAAGGTCAAAGCATGTTACACGCACAGATGTGGTCGGTGTGACAGCACAGCGGCGAGTGGGGCGATTGCACCATGACCTCAGCTTCATTTCCTGCGGGGAGGGAGGGAGGAAGGGGGGGGGGGTGGTGCCGACAGCTCTCCTTGACTTCATCATCCTCGTATCGGCCCCCGTGCGGGCGCACGCCGGCCCGCCGTCTGTTTTTCGACTTGCCGCTGCTCATCCCTTCCCTCGGCCGCCTCCGGCCTCATCTGATGCCAAAAAGGCTTCTGGAAAGAAAAAAAAACAAAAGCAGAGAGGAAAGAAAAACACAAGGCAGGTCACGGCCTCACGTGACCTCCTGGCTCAGTCGTCTGCTGCCTGTCTTTTTAATTAATAGCATTATTCTCATTGTTCCCCATGACAGACTCGAGCTGGCTCCTTCAAGAAATGATATTATTAAACAAGAGAGGCATTTCTTTATTCACTGTTTCTTTTGTTATGTGTTTTTGCAAGCGGAGGCTTTAAGAATGTTTTGTGTTTTTTTACTATATTTAGAGACGTGTTCGCACCGTGATTGTAACATATAATAGTCTTTAAAAGTTGCCTGAGCTTAAAAATCATCATATTTATATTCTAAAACTAATTATTAGACCTCGGCCATTGTATTAGCAAAACATCAGCATCTCATCATAGCTCGGCAGCAGATAGATTCTTATTCAATTTTGGCTTCTTTTTTTCATAGAACCTTTTTTTTGTTACGTTTTGTCTCTTCTTTTATCTTTTATATTTTGAAACTCACACCGACGCGAAATCCAGCTTTGACATCATACTACTTACATTGATGTTGTTACTGCAATCTAATTCAGCTGTCAATTGGGTTTCGGTTTGCTTTGTTCATCTTATCCTTGATGTAGCAGTGGTCGAATGCAAAGTACATTTTCACTTATTTCCATCCAAAGAGGAAATACTTTTTCTTGAATACTTCCATTTTTATGCTACTTTATACTTGTAATTCCTACACGTTGAAAGCCAATATCGTATATTTTCACTCAATACTTATTTGAAATGAGTTCCACCTCTATCAGATGCAACAAGAGGCTTACTCGTTATTGCATTATTGAAATTGGCAGGGATGGAATACTATACCCCAGATATTTAAACTCTAAATCCAAAACACTGAGTTCTCCAATGCATTTCAAAATACCTGATCACCAACATCAGATGCGTCCGACGTGTCCTCACTGCCCTCACTGCCCTTCTTGGCCTTTAGGGGGCGCTGGCGGGACTGTTTGTTGAGGTCACTGCTGGAATGCGAGGAGGGCAGGTGGAGTGTGTGTGTGTGTGTGTGTGTGTGTGTGGGTGAGAGTTGTGTAACGATCCGCTCTGAGTACGCTGAGGTGGGAGGGCCAACGTGATGTCACAGAAGGGTGGGGGGGTGTGGGGGGTGGGGGTGTATAAGTAGATGTCCTGGCCAAGTAAGTGAGCACAAAGCACCTGTTGCAGCTCCTCAGCCTCGACACAAGTCAACTGCGAAGACTCGTCTGCACCACTTGGAGCGTTTGAACCGACTGCTGCTGCTGCTGTTACACTTCAGAACATCCGACACCTGAAGAGGACGATGGCTTCCTTCACCTGCAAGACGCTGACTTTGTTCTTCCTCGGCATGGCTCTGCAAGAGAGTGAGTAACTTATTATTAGTATTTGGTTTCTTTGAATTCTGGATTGTATATGTGTTAGATATTTTCCTCTTAAATGTATATGTTTTCTTTGATTATAAATCCCCTTGAAATGAATTTGCATTTCTTTCTTGCGCAGTTCAGGTAAATGTTTGAGGGGTTGAGGATTAGCAATAAGCAATTCTATGGAAATTGTATAAAACATTGCATAGTTGTTGAGCAAAAGAAGAAGATGCCGTTCTGAAACAAACAGCCTTTGATTATTTACCACTAACCTTGGCTGTGTTCAGCCTTCAGAGAGTATACTTATCTTAAATGAGTAACCCACCTTTTATTGAATAGTAATCACATCGCAGCCTTATTGCTTACATGCAGGGATATTTAACTTGGATTAAGTTCCTCGGTAGATTAAATACGATGAATCCATCAATCACAATCTAATTTGTTTAACCTCACTAGTGGGTGTTAACTCGCTGAGTGGATTTCTTTGTGTCTACATTTGATCGTCACAAACTGCACAGTCAAACTGAACTGGATTAGTTGGCGCTTTTTAATCTCGGGATCCTTTTGTGTTCTTCTAGGTTGTGGACTCCCCTTATCAGACGGGGCAGAGCTGCCAGCTCAGGCTCTCCACCAACACAGAGTCAGGACCAAACGCTGCTCTTGTAGCAGCTGGGATGATAAAGAATGCATCTACTTCTGCCACCTGGACATTATTTGGGTCAACACGCCAAGGTGAGACATCGGAGCGCTTGTCGACTGTCGCTCGAGGAGCTGCCCCCTAAATCTGACCCCAAGAGCACTCAGGAACGATTTTGAAACAAATTGTAGACCCCCAAATGCTTTCTCTACCACTGTCCTAATATGTTTCCTTCTTCTTTACAGTAAGCTCCTTCCTTATGGCCTCGGAAGCCCTCCGTCTCGTCGCCGCCGCCGTTCAGCTGAGCGTTGCGAATGCCTCAGGCCGACCGATACAACCTGCTCCGGCTTCTGCCACGAAAGGTGACCGCCCTTCCGTACCTTCTCTAAGCTACCCAGACCCGCAACAAAGCAAGACTGTCCGATCCCGTATGCGCTTCGTTGGATGCGCGATAGTATCAAAGTATGTCGGTGGCGAAAATGAGTCAGAGTGGAGACAAAGCGATTCAGTTTGAGATAACGTTGCCTGGCATAGGGGTAGTAGTCATAGTGCAAAGAATGCCCCGCATTTCCTCCGAGGCCGTGATTGAAATCACAAAGGTTTATTTCGAGGTGCTGCTATATATTGAAAGTTTAGATATATGCTTCTGCTCAAGGAAGTATTTTCTTTCGCTTTTGAGTCATCGCCGTTCGTGAAACCACCCCGTCTCTAGATGTTATCCTGGCCGCTGTCTTGGACGCTGCGCCCTGCATTCCTTGCCCAAAAAAGCATCTTAAGACATATACGTTTGGAATGCCTAGGAATTAACTCACTGGACCTTGAACTTCTTTTGCTTTAATCAACCTTAATAATGCCAGACACATTCCTCAGTTTGGCGAGGTTGGATCACCCAAAGCATTGGGAGGGTTGCGTGTCCTTGTTTTAATGCTGTTGTTGTATCTCCCCACAGCTCAAAGAATCCAAGGACAAACGTCTCGCGCCGATCGGTGGAGTCTGGGAGCACAAACCGCAACAAACTGGTGGAATCCTTCAGGTACGTGAAGAAGGATTCAAGGATACATTTTAGATCCATTGTGCTGTTGTTTGATTGTCATTCATTGGACATCATGAAGCTTATCTGTTTTGTTTTTTCTCGTTCTGTTGCGCAGGTCTGTGGTGAAATCCAACATTGCGATCGCGAAAGAGTTTCTGTCATCAAACAAGAACCTGGGAGGACCAAACAGAGTGAGCAGCAGAACGAGGAGGTAGAGAACAGAGCGAACACCAGAGGCGTCAACCTCCATGGATTCGACCTCCATGGGCCGGAGACTTCTCCGGCTACCTTCAACCGGGGGATTCTACAGTCAGCGAGAGTCTCGGGCGATGTGAAGGTGGAAGGACGGAAGGAAAAAACGGCATTGGATCGAGCATTTGATCAACAAAACAGTGCCTCGAAGGACTGGCAGCTCAGCGAGACAGAAACCCAGCAGCAAGAACAATGCTGGGTGGAGACGTCTAGGGTTATTTCTCGAACTCTCTTTGAACAGTTTTGAACATATCAACAGAGGTCAAGAAACGATTCATTGAAGCCGAGGACACGGAAGTCGGTGTCTGCCCTTTTGGGGAAACCACATGAAGAGGGTTTACCGTGACGAATCAGTCACCGATCTCGAGTTCTTTTTGTTTTTATAAACCCTCCGGTGGCTCGTCTGATTGGGCAGCTTTGTAGGACCATTACATATTCCAGAGTCATATCAGCTCTCAATTGTTTGTCAATGTTTACTCTGTATACTACATATTCCTCTGCATCAGAGCTGGAATCTGCTACCTTAGCCAGTCGTTAGGGCCAATAAGCAAAGTGATTACCAGACACTACTTGAAGACGGCAGCTCGTTCATTCTTTGCACATCTGGCCTCAGTGGAATGAAGGTCATTTCTTTGGGATTTGTCTCACAAACAATTAGCTTTGTACAAGGTCTATTGTCAGCTCCCACACGCATCCATATTCACAAAACTTTCTGCTAGCATAACAACAACATTAGGTCTATTGTGTTGGCCCCAGTGTTTATTGCATAGCTTCAGTTTAATGTTTTGATTTAAGATAAGCCAGAAAGTTTCAATGGCTTGCAGCTTGCCAAAAAATGCAACAGTTGTTTTTCTCCCCTGACAAGTATTCACCTAATTCCTCTGTAATTAGCCACTGGGAAACAATGACTCTCGACTTTGCACTTTGTCTGTGGACTGCACTTTTTCTGTGCCGTAAAATCCATTTACTCCAATCCATGATTGTCGTCACAGACACATGGAAATATAAACCTTCTTTGTACCTAAACATATCCATTAGCGTTGTATATGATGGAGGTTTTTAATGTCTAAGATATAACACCTGAATTGTATATAGAATGTATTTATTCTCTAACTTATTCAGAGATGTATTTATATTTGTATGAACAATGCACTGACTTTTGTATAAAAATGCAAAAAAACAGATTCGGTAGTGGAATGGTGATTTTATGATTTGACTTTGATAATTAATTGCTCTCACTCATTCTTCAGCTAGAAATTGCATGTTTCAGCAACACTTATTCAACACCACGATGCAAGTTTGAACTAACCTGATGGCAACTTGAGGTCCAACCACTCGTGTTCACATTTATTTTCTTCTTTGAGGAAATACTAAACTTCTTCTATAACTTAGATACTGACACTGTAATCACATGTCAATGTATTTAGTGTTAAGAACCTCACTCTAGCTGGACTTAAACCTGGACTTATGTGTAAGATGCACCATTGATGCAATGTTAAGGGTACAGTCCAAAAAGAAACAGATTTGAAAAGAGGTCCTATATTGTCGGGACTTCTTCTTTAATTAAAATTAAATTGAAAATGAAGAAAATGTTAATTTGAGGTCATTAAACGTCAGTTGTTTCCTCAGGTACGCCATCAAATCTTGTAATCTTGTGATGTAAAAAAGCTCCTCAAGAGCTGGTTAATGGCTGTCTACCTTTATTCAACATTCAACAACTTTATGACGTTTTTATAAATTTGACATGTTTTGAAACTTTTGAAAAGGGATGATGACGGCATATTGTTATTTTATACATTCTGTTTATAGCCGTGATTGGCTTACAGCCTAATAATACTACTCGTTCAGTTATTTCTTTATAAAAAATGGTGCAATGACATGCGAAAAACATTTGCGCATATCAGGGAGCTTTCTGAAACGGCATCACGAACACACAGATATGAGAGGAGAAGGGAGATAATGGAGGAAAAAATAACAGAAAGAGCTTAAATGTGCCAGCAGTTCCGTCAGAAGCTGGGCTGTCACACAAACACACCTGCTGCCTGCTAGCTCGCAGCTAGCTGATGGCTAACATACTGTCAGAGTCACCACAGGTAAAGATGAACTTCTCCCCATGTGGGTACTGATTGCTGGATGAAAGTAGTCAAAACATACCTGTTAATTCACCTTTACAGACTGACCAAATGAGCCGACAGGTGTTACAGGACCGTGTGCTAAAGTGTTGCTTCGTTGACGTAGTTGCGTCGTCAAATGGCACTGGGAACTCGCTAGCGTCATTTCTTCTTTCTTTTCGGAGGAATGGAACACGGCGAAATAAAAACACCTGATTGGTGGACGATTCGAAGCGTTATTGACCAGCCTGGTGCTGTGGGAACATTTCCCTTTATTCACTTTCTCTGTCTCTGCTCAAAGTGTATTAAACATCGATTCAGAAGCTAAAAATTAGGCAGGTTTCTTAACTGGCCTATGACTTTTCCTTTTGTTAGTTTATGTTCACTCCCAGTTGGAGTCGCTCTGAATTCTTCTGTTTATTACTTTTGGTGACCAGTAAAGAACCATCTTTTTTTCAACTTCATCTTGTCTCCAGTGTCAGTCCCAACCCATTCAATCGCAACATAGATATATGAATTCCAGAATCACGATTTAATGGTCACGGCCACCTCATTCCTTTGGCTGTCACCGCCATACCTCGTTCAGGCCTTCAGCCCGACTCCTGTAAAAGCCAAGCAGGTATTTCTACTTCAAAGTCAGCGTTAACCGACAGAACAGGCAGACAGTTGACACGCTGAAGTATGTGGGTCCAACACATGGCATTTATTAGCACATAATGTAGCGTGCTTTGGTTATCGCTTCACGGTGTTGCGTCTGACCCCTTATACACTGATGTTTACTTTAGATAGGCTGTTCTGCAACGGGGACGTGAGCGCATGGTGTTTATTATAGAGGAAGTCGGAGACTTCCATCTATCTACAGGATGTCCCGGGTCACAGGTCATGTGTTTAAGGAATGACGGGTAACAACAATAAAGGGGGAATGGGCAAGCACTCAAAGTCAATCACAGGTTAATGTGATTTCTCTTTTTATGTGCAGTGAAACTGACTTTGTGTTGCGGTGCTGTAGGAGGCAAACCGTAGCGATATTATGTACCTGTGTCTCCTTTAAGCATCAAGTTATACACCCTGACGTCAGGAGGACCCTGCAGACACACTTCAGAGTGTGAAAAAGCTGACTAAGAATGAAAACAGGATGCTTTTTCTACATTCCTCCTGGATTCCTTTAGCGGAGGAGAGAACCGGGAGCGGAAAAGAAACAAAGGAAAAACAGGAGCATGTCTGCTGTTTGTGCAAAGAACTGATATGGGTTGGATAGGGGATTGAGATTGGAACCTTAATCACACTGTTGTCATAGTTGCATTGTTATGGTTTGTTTGTGAAGTCTTTATTCCATGTTCTTTGCCGCTATTTTTCTCCCTGCCGTGCTGCCTGATAGTAAATCATGATGGTTTGATTACAATAGTTTCACTGGGTTTCAGCCTGTTGTTGAATACACACACTTAAGATGTGCATTTAGTAATCAAATAACTTGATTTATGGACTGTGAGGAAATTGCCGAAGTGAAGAGGGCTTGAATCTATCAGGTTAATTTAGCTCTGATTAAGTAGAGCTCAGGCTAATGAGGATGCCGTTAGTGTTGCAGACATTCCGTCTGCAAGAAACATTTACACCCTTAAACATTCACAGTGGGGGGAAATAATTACAGCCCAACGTGCATAATAGAAATGCACACGTTTTAAGTGTGTTTATATAATGTAGAACTTAGTTGTACAAACAGAGGTGTAAGAAAGGAGTTTTGATCCGTTATTCTACAGTTGAAGGTGACATGATGGTAGACGGGGAGGTAAACATCAGTCGTGGTGCTAACAGCACACTTCAAGGATTGAGTGTAATGATTATCAACGGCCTTCAGCTCAACACAAAAGACTAAATGAGAGCGACTTTTGAAAAGCTTTTGCGGAGCTTTCTCACACAAACTTTCAGCCTTCTCGGCCTTTAAGATAAAGGAACAATTCGTGAAAACAGCGATTGCTTTCTTTGAAAGGACTTCTAGGAACATTGTAATTCCGACCAAGAACGCTCCCCACCGCCGCCCAAGGCCACAGCTGTCTGTTTTCTGGCTGTAACTCACCTTTGGTCCATCTAGAAGAGCGTGAGTGTGTCCTTACACACTGTTTTTGTCTCCACATTCCTCTCTGAATGCAGGACAGGAGGCGGATTAATATTTGATACTCCACACTGGCGACGTCATGCATTTGGCTTCGCTGCTCAAAACAACAGGACATCAGGTGACTCATCACTTGGTAATATATACATACATGTATAGCCTACATATACGTGATTGAGATTAGGACACACGATGAAACGTTGTGACACAACAACTGTTTTTGTGTTTTCCCTTTGCAGTTGTACAGTCCCAGTCCGAACTGCCTGTGATTACAGTAAACTCCGGCGTCGGTACATTCCTGCTCTTCCTGGTTTTGTTTGCTGGGACCCGAGCGGGCTCGGGGACAGACTGGGGACAGACTGGCCCTATCAGCACCGCCGGTCCAAACATGCCCGCTGATACCAAAACACAAAGTCTAGTCATAACCAAACAGCCGGGGACCAGCAGGAAGGAAGCGAGCTCGGTCCGCGGAAGAGAAGGAGACGGCGTTCCGCCGCATCAATCGGTAACTTTCGATGGTTTCAGGTGTCGAGGGTCACGCTTCAAAGGACTCGCTCGCACTCCAGAGGGTAAACAGTGACATGGATGTTTTGAATAGCCGGCATTCCTGGAGGCTTGCTCGCCAAGCTCAGAGGTGAGCCTCGTCAAGCGCTGAGATCATTCCAAGACAAACGTGTCAGTGTGCGCGGCATGGTGGGAAGTGTCCTGCCTGTCATTTGTCTTGCAGAAACGGCTCCGGACCAGCAGACATTCCTTCACATCTGTAATCCTTAATACTACTCACTGGCAGGCCCGTACTGGACGGCGTACTTCACATCATGGTCTAGATCTTCATCGGTGTGCGGGCACACGTACGCTGGATACGGTCTCTCCGTAAACAGCCACTGTCCTCTGCGCGACGCGGCGGATCAAAATCTTGATTCGCCTTTCAGACACCTGACGATGTTCATCTGCAACCAGACGTTGTAAACATGTAGCAGGTGAATACGTGATGGATGGTGGCAGACCGGAGTCAAAGAGGACACAGGGAAAGTGTTTTTATGCACGTCCACCGGGACCACATACTGAGATACTAGAAGTACTTATCATGATGGAGGTATCTGCAGTACTGAGCACTGTTAGCCAGACGTGTGGCTCTAAACAATTAACTTTAGGATAGGTGTATTAACTCATAAAATCAATTATTAAAGAGAATTTGCAATTGAACTAAATAAGAATCAATGAATTTATATTAAAAACGCATTTCATTTGCAGAAGGGAATTTATTTGTTATCATTGTTTATATTACATGTCAGATAATGTAGTGTAATGTAATTAGAAAACGAGAGAATGTTGATTAAGAACCAAAACACTCTGCCAGTCAGCAAACATGTTCAACAACATCATCATCGTGGCCTGAAAATCCAGCTGATGGATTTTAACTCAAATGAAAAGATGCTAAGTGACATTCATCGGTTTCATAATATTCTGATTTAAGAGTCGGGAGCAACGTTTAGCTGATAAACGCATGCAGCGATGATGTAGTCTCGCGCCTCCTACGGAGGTCTGCAGAGCTCATTTCTCTCTAACTGCACACCTCCTGTTTGTCTTCAGCCCCACCGATGCTGACTCACCACATAACGGCATGTACCACACGCCACGCCGCTCCCTCTGCGGCTTCCTCTTCAACCATAACACCTTTTTATAGTCTTACGTGCATTATTGAATCGTAAAACTTTTTAAGAGAGGTGTTGATGGACATTTGAGGTGACGCATTGTCAGAGCTGTGAAGGTTTTAATTTCCTTTGCTTGAATAGTTTACGGTGGAAAGAAGCAAGGCCCGTGGACAATAGTGGAATAGAAACTATCAGAGGCCTCATGTATGATCATTTTGGAGCAATTTGTGCAACAGCGACTCCTTTTTACGGAAGACCTTTTGAGATCCTCACGGAGAATGCCGTCTGTTTAGTTTTACACTTGCACA